AGACGCGGGAAACATGGGATGGTTAACGTTTACATTCAGGTTCGTCAAGATATAAACCTTCCTTTTATCTTATTGGTTAACAGTAGCTTGATGGTGATTTTTAGTTTGCAGAAAAAGTTTAAATCGTTGTTTGGAGAGAACCTGGAAGTAGTCAGAACTCATCAGCAACAAGAAAATCTAAAGTTTTTAGCATATTTTAAAAGAAAATTTATCATCCATCATGGTAAACGCAAACAGCCTAAGCCTCCTGGTAGCAACAAGGTCGAATTTTTCCATTTGAGGAGCAATGGAAGTGCGTTGTGTACTAGGCTAATACAGATACCAGCTGATTCGTCGCTACTGAATTCTTCTTTTTGGTAAGATCGTTGATATCATGTTCTCTTCTTTGATTCATCGAGTCATGTTCTGTTTGTCTAAAGACACCGATCTTGTTGACGATGTGTATTATTCTACAAAGTAACAACCGCTGTTTCAGTTACCTTTTGAACGTACCATTCAATAACGACGACGAAACAGGAATAGTGTACGCATGGATTGGTTCTAAAGCGGACAACGATGAAGCGCGTTTGATCGAAGAAGTCGCCGAAGAAATGTTTAATAACGTATGTTGCCGTTTTATAGTAACTCGTAGTAGACAACTAATTAGTTAATGTAAAGTAAATATTAATATTTATATCCTTGAACGATTAACAGCCATGGATAAGTTTGCAAGTCTTGAATGAAGGCGAAGAACCGGACAATTTCTTTTGGGTAGCTCTTGGCGGAAAGAAGCCATACGATACCGACGCTGAATACATGAATTACACCAGACTGTTTCGATGTTCTAATGAAAAAGGATACTTCACGATCAGTGAGAAATGTACCGATTTCTGTCAGGTATACAACAAATACATTAGTTTACATATAAACGAGACTGCTCGGTTAACTAATTCATGGGTGATGGATGCTATTCCAGGATGATTTAGCGGACGATGATATCATGATACTTGACAATGGTGAACAAGTGTTCTTATGGTTGGGAAGTCGGTGTTCGGAAGTAGAAATTAAATTAGCTTATAAATCTGCTCAGGTAAAAATAGTGAAGCAAATAAGCAATTCGTTATCACGTTAAAGAAGAGCAAATAATATGTAAATGAAAAACTTTTTCAAGATGATTTACGCCGTTACATTTTCAGGTATACATTCAACATTTACGAGTCAAGCAGCCAGACAGACCACGCAAGTTATTTTTAACTGCGAAAGGAAAAGAATCTCGTAAATTCACCAAATGCTTTCATGGCTGGAGTTCGCATAAAAGACCACCTCAATAGAAAGTATGTTTAATAGAAACTGGTTGTTTTTAATTTTGATGTGATTTGCGATATGGAAAAGCCTAACAATTTATTACGAGTATATTACGATTTTAAGTTATATCTGCAGGCAGAAAAACTATCCAATGGACACAGCATTTTAACATCGTGAAATTTTATTATTTAAACCGACAATCCTGTTTGCACAAAGTCATTAACATCGTTGTCACTTCGTGTTTCTCCTCCTTACATGTTTAATTGTATATCCATGGAAACTGTACACTATCAGGTGTGGGTATGTCGCGTATAAACGCGCGCGCGTATGTGTGAGTGTGTGTCTGTATATATACTTCCTATACACAATAATTTAAGAGAGCATGTCACGTGTATACATTATCTGATAGCTTTCCCTTTCTATGAGAAGCATTCATCAAACAATTTGCAGTTCAATTTTCATATTTTCATAGAAATAAAATCGAGGAAGCAGAAAATTGAGTTTGTGCACTTGATTCTCCAAAATATTGTAGGATAGAAAAATGTTTTGGCAACAATTATAGCTTAGAACTTTGTCATTTATTTGTCATATGTTTTCAATTCAACAGTAGAGAGCTAGATGCAAAAGTTGCAGGAAGTCAGAGGAAGACGCATATAACGAAACAGTGATTCTAAAGAGATTCTAACTAGTTTAACATGAATTAAAATTTAAGGTACATATCTAGTCGTCGTCATCGTCGTCGTCAGAAGGTACAAAAAGATCGTTCTCCTCAAGGAAATTGACTATCATTATGCTCAAGTAAGTTCCGATAGTTACGCCAGCCGCAAGAATGCAAAGAACCCTCGCATAACCGAAACGTATTCTTTTTGGTTCTGGAAGAATGGCACCCGAAGGTGTCCTTGTCGTATGTCGAACTTGTAATTTACTTCCTCCAGTGTTTTTGCTCAAAGCTCGAAATAAACTAAATGTACGTTGCAACGACATTCTTTGTTGGCAGTTCACACCGACAATAGCGAAGACTGCGGAGGCTGAAAACAGTAGTTTGCTTTGTACAAAGTCGAGATCCAAGAAATGTGAATGTTTATCATACGTACAAATTGTTGATGCCCACTCTGGATAAACTGTCCTTAAATAGCTACGGAGTCGGAAGTAGTATAAACCATTGCGCCAGGTGGACGTTAAACAGTGATTGTTTAACTTTAATCCATTGGTATTGAGAAGTTCCTTTAAACTCGCATTTGTAGTTTGATTATCTTAATTATACGCAAAGATAATCATAATACTGTTAGCACCAAGAACGCGATGTAACCAGTCTTCCTCCATCCAAGTGTGGAGAGTAAATTGATAAACAACCGGTGTTATCACTGTACCCAGAATCCAAAATTAGCATGGCGAGCATAGACCAATATCAATGTTACCAGATTTGACACAATTTTGGGATAGGCGTGTCCATGCCAGTAAAAATTGGACGGATCCTAATGAGATAGCAAGCTAAATGCAAACGTCGTGTTACGAATATATAATGTTATAAATTCCTAATTTCTAAATCTAAATCTAAAGATTTTGAAATCTTTTTAAACATTCGAGGAAAAGTATCCTCGAATTTTTCTAATTTCTTTATATTCATTTTCCAACAATCTTCAAACGATAACCAAGTGGGGTGCTATGAGATATCCATTTTTACTAAATCTAGTAATATTGATCCATTCTTTGACTACAGTGTAGTATAAACAAAGATTATTTTTATCAGTCAATAGATAACAGAGGAAACAAAATAAACAATGTATAGTATAACGTGATAAAGAAAAAAACAATTCTTTTCTGATAGAGAGAAATAGTGTTGTAAGACACTTGAGAAACTTCAGAGAGTTCCTTCTCTATACAAGTTCACTACTCTGTGCTTTGATGTGCAATTTCCTTGTGACATGTACAAAAAAAACATATTTTGACATGTAGTTTGGCTTTCTTTGAATTTAATACGATACTATCCCTCTAAAATTTGCCAAAAAGTTTGTGAAAAATGCCAGCGGTAATCGTGGGTCCTCCTCAACGTAGCGAGCAGATGCGTCAAGCACTGAAAGCTCACATTACCAGAGAACGACAACGAAAGAAACAAGGTAACCCTACTTGTCAAAGAAGTTTTTGGTATTGTAATTTAACGTTTTCCACTACACGTAGAACAAGAAGCAGATGCAGAGGAGGAACGACAAAGAAAAGAGAGAGAACGTCAACAGAAACAAGATGTAATGACTTTAGGTGAGACTAGGGAACAAATATCGAATCTCGAAAATGAGCTGTCCCATTTGAAAGATGAGAAGCACCAGCTGTTTCTGCAATTGAAGAAGGTCTTAAATGAAGATGATAATAGAAGAAGACAATTAATTAAAGAAACAAAGTTTGTATTGTATTTCTTAGAGGATTAGATGTATAATCCGATGACATAACCAAATATTTTTTATACGCAGTGTTTGTTCCGAAGTATTGACAGCGGTAGGAGGATATCCTGGAACAGGTCCTAGAGTAGTTCATCCCCAGGTATTTCTCCCCTTACCACGAAGCAGTAGTCCCCTTTATAAAGTTGCTGTTTGTGCACCAACTCACACTTTATTATCGAGTGTAAGTATAAGTTGCTTATACTTAAACTAACAACTATTAAACTATGAGTCTACTTTCTTAGGGTCCATTGAAGAGAACTCACAGTCCTTCACCTCCTCCAATAGCCTCTCCATATCATGCTGTGTATGGATACAAACCACCCCCTTCAATTCCAAGTTACAATCACCCACCTTCCAGTAAGTACATGGATATAGCTCTACTTTCGTAATGAAAGACATATATGTTTATAAAGAGAATAAGAAAGACAGTGTTAAAGGTAGATGTTTGTGCCTCCGTAGAATCTGAGGAAGCAGCTAGGAGATCTGGCGATTCCCGAGCTGTTCTATGGAACAGTGAGTGAATAAACCTTTAATTTCCGTGCTCTTGGTTTAAAAAACCATCGTTTACAGCCCTCGCATTTCCACTGTTAACTTTACTCTTGTGCGTCTTCTTACAGAGAACAGTCAATACTCTGCCTCCAATTTCTACTCTGCGCCCACGGGTCAAAGTGTCTATAGTTATTCCGCGGCTACTTCGCAACCATCGCGAGAACCTGAGCCTGCCAAGTCTGTGTATCTTTCGGGAAACAGGCAAACTTTATCAGCGCATCAAACTGGTATATTAACATCTACGTATAAATATTTCACTTTCGTTCAGTTCAAATTGCACGAATTAACAAAGGTACTGTAATAATCGTCTATTCATTAGCATATGTGACAAACTTACATACATTGGAGCATAAAGGCGCCTATGCAGAAGATAAATTTTATCTACGACCGAGCAGCCATGTCACCGTCCATGGCGGAGCTATTCCTATTCAACAACCGCCACAGGTATTTTTGAAATTTACTTATTATTACATTTGTGTATTATATTTCATGAATGATTCATGAATGATGATGAAGGGAGCGAAAACGGGAGGAATTACATCAGGCTATCCAGTGAGAGCGCCACAACCACCGCCTGCCCCATATCCGCCACCAGGTACTTACGTTAGTGCCTCTGGTGCTAACGTACCTGGACGGTTATTATACACTCAACCAGGTGCAAGATATCTTCAAAGAGAAGTATAGAATATCGATAAACACTTGCTTAAACTGAAATATCTCGACACATTATTTGTATATAAAGTTTATATTGTACAGTCGTCAACCATATTACAGTATTCAAATATATACATTTGAAGTATTTTGTCTTTTTTTAAACATTATTATTATTACGTACTTTACTGCTGTTTTATACATTTTTGGGGGGAAATTAGATATTTTCTTTAGGAAACTACAAAAGATATACACTAAGGAACAAAGCAACGATTGCATATTTATAAAACTAGATAAAAAAATAATTAATCAAATACAAAATTAAGACAAAATCGTATTGTGTTCCCATAAACAATCATTTAAATTACGTCAAAGATCGTAAAAAAAGTAAAACATACATGAAAAGTAATCGAAACAAAAATTTATCTTACTTGGCACAATATTCATTAATTGTCAAAATAACTTTCGTTAAACACTAATACTTTGTTACATATCTCTCGTTTGCCGTTTTCGTTTTAGAATTGAATTCCTAATTGTTTCTCTTTTTTCCTATGTTCTATCATGAACAAATGACTGCGGAGGTCGAAAACGTCGACTAACGTAACTTTGCACAGTTTACATTGAATATTAGTATTTTCAGGTCTCCTGGGATCCCTATTACAGTAGAAATAAACATTCATAAACATTACATTAGAACAAAATAATATGCATGTTCAATAATTTACTTACTCGTTTGTCAACTCTCGTAACTCCTTCAGATGTTCTGTAATTTCTTGTAACTCTGACTTTTCCTCTAACTCCAACGCATTGTGCAATCTAAATATGTTGTTTGCGATCATAGACAGCTTGCTGGGTTGTAAGTACAAAGACTCATCGTACAGATTCCATTTATCGAAATCAGGGATTAATTCCGGTTCTCGTTTCTTCCTTGGCTTGTCGATCAATTCCCTCAACGCGTCCTTTATTCTGTTTTGACAGACAATTATTTGTTCCATATTATCGCTGCTTTCATATGGATATTTAGTTTGCATTCCAATGTTCATCCAATGACGCAGTCTGTTTATCTGCCAAAGAAATGAAAAAAAAAATAATTAGTTGAAATATAAATATATACAAAAAGACGTATTTTAAGCAATCCTCACAAATTGCAGATCGTTAAGGGTAATTTCAGCATCGAATTGCAGCTCTATGTCGTGCTCAGGGAAAATGCTTCTTTTGGTGACAGGATCGGCTCCCAATCCGCATAACGCGCCAATATAATGAGTTCCAAATTTGTCGCGTCGTAGTTCCATGCATGGAGTGAAAATCATTGTAATTAAAGCGGTTAGTCCAGTAGTACGTGGCATTAATGTTGTATTGTGTATCACTAAATTATTCCCGTGTCTATTCTGGGAAACGGATCCAGCAACTAGAAGTCCTGGGTCTTCAGGGTCAGTGTCCAGAAGAACAGAGTTGACAGAACTCGCGGCCACTTTTACTTGCTTGCCTCTGCCGGTCATGATAAAATGTTTTAATTCAATCTCCAATGGCGAAAATGGACCTCGTAAATTAATTGTTGTATAGCATTCAGAACTATCAGGTGGGTCTGGATAAATATCAGGAATATAACCTTGATTGTACTGCAGCTTTTCATAATAATTACACTGTTCGTCTGACATGTCTGATTGTTTCGATCTTAGATCATTATTAAATTGCGAGAAATAGTCTTCTTTCTTCTTTATCGCAAAACCTTTATCAATTAAATATTGATTGATATTGATCTCCTTTGCTTTTTCTTTGCTTTCGTGCACTAGCTCCAATGCGATGACGCTACTAACGACTGAATAAATGTTACCGAACAATTGACCAGGTTTGTTAATTAATTTTCTGAAGAAATCGTACGCAGATTCTGACCAATCGTCGTACAAATCATGCGCTGCGAATGGTCGAACATTCGCTAAAACGCATTCGATAGCTAACGCTGGAATATTGGCAATCTCGCTGCTGCTATCGAGACATTTTAAATCACATAGTCGACAATCGCTCGAAAAACCATAATCGATGAAAAATACTTGTACTAATATTTCTGGTAGCGCTACGTGACCTTTGACGATTGCTCGAAAGTATGATCTGCAATTATTTTGTTCGAATGGCGCGATAACAAGTGTGCCAGTTTCTGGAGGCGTAATAATGGGATTCAAGCAACGATGTGTTCTCTCGATGACCGATCGTATTTTCTCCATATCTTTTCTTACTTTGGTATCACGCATTTGTATCCAAAAACGACCAGGATCCTGGATCTGAAAATTGGAATTATTCCTTAACAATGTGGAATATTTTAATGTACGATTTATTTTAGAGACATACCTACATGTTGTACTATTACAGGGATGCGAGACACTCGCAAGCCTGGTAACTGAGGTCTAATGCTGTCTTTCATTATGTCATCATAATTGAAGAAAGCTTTTTTATTCAAGTTCATTTCTTCTGCCCTTTGATTCGCGATATATTCATTTAAAATAGGTATCTCCATAGGAATTTTACAGTGTCTCATTCTGATAGCTTTGTAAACGGACGGTGATATCTTTCTCAACGTATGATCGCCTTCCTTTTCTGATGTTTTATTATCGATAAATTGAACATAAACTCGAGTAGAAGAATCAAAAGTTACTCTCACTTTTCCAAAGTTCTTCGATGACGATCCATCCTCTTTAAAAATATCTTGAATTCTACGAGCGTAGAGAATTCCAGGTTGTCTCAGAGGCCATCCCTGTAGATACACCGTCTTAGATGGATCCAACCCACCTAATAATCTTACTCCACCGTGCTCGTTGGATTCTCCTGGTACAAACTTGACGAAGTAGTTTGGGTAGAACGCCCCAGCGATCGCGATTTTTAAAGCGAGAGACTGTTCGGAATCGTTCCAAACAACTTTCTTCACTCCCGCACTTTCTCGTATACCTAATTTATCTAGTCTCTGCGTTAATTCTGTAATGAGGGCCTTAACTTCACGTAATACTCTTACTTGTAAAAAGTTTCTCGCTGCCCATTTCTTTTCTGCAGAGTCGCTGTTTATGCGACGATTGGCTTTCTCGCCGATCCACACCTTGTAAGCACTCATAAACGCTACGCAATCGCTACAAGAATCAGCAGCCCAAACGAGTTTAACGTTATACGACAATAGCTTCTTCTGAAACGAATTACTAAACATATCTTTTACAGCCAAACTGGCTGCAATTATAATAGTATCCTTCAAGACACTGAACACATGACCTAGCATAATTAATTTTGTTAAATGAATATCCAATGGCAGACTGGCCATGACTCGACCCAGATCAGTTATGTCTCCATCGAGATTTCTTATATTATTGGTCTTGTCAATTAATGCGCCTACTTCTTTTAGCAACAATATCGTTCTTTCCAAGTTTCCAAGATCGGGTGGATCTAGAGAAAGAGCTAAAATAGCTTTGGGTTCTCCCATGTCCAGCATTTTGGCTTTCAGGACTAGATTTTCCAGCGGGGCCCGCATCATTTCGGGTGATCCTTCTTGAGGCAGGACATTCTGCAATTTTTAATGTTATTACAATTTACATTGATTTGAATCGTTAAAATAAAATTACCTCGTAAAATGATTGTGGCACGAGCCTGTACACTCTTCCGTCCATCACACGACCCGTGCGACCCGCTCTTTGGTCGCAATTTACTTTACTCGCCCACGTAAGTTCTAAGCTCTGGAAACTAGTCGTAGGATCGACAACAAGTTGTTTCGTTAAACAGAAATCAATTACTAAAAAAAGATGCGGGTTAATTACGTTGTAGAGGATTGTTTTTCCGATTCAATTAACTTAACACACCGTATTTTACATCAGGTACAGTGATACTGCTTTCAGCAATATTTGTAGATAAGATAATGCGACGGTACCCAGGGGACGGTCTTTGAAAAATTTTTTGTTGGTCTTGATTAGAAATCAACGAATGTAACACTACTATATCCCATTTAGACTTGTCGTGTTTTGGTAATTTTAACAAATTATACATTTCTTCGATTTCATTGATTCCTGGTAGAAATACTAGAATCACGTGTCTTTCATAGGTATTTGTTTCTGGATTGTAATTCGCGTCATCTGCTTTCATGTCCACATCGTCGAGAATTTTTATAAGGTTGATACAAAATTCCACCATTTTAGATGTAACTTTTGGTTCTATAGCAGAAACATCAGGTAACTATGAAGAAGCAAAAACATATATATGTATATTTGTATGTCTTAAGTTGTAAATAGTATTGTACTTAATAATTATATTAGATATTTACCGGACCCATTGAAACCAATTGACAAAGATAGAATATGGCAGTGTTGAAAATAGTTTTCTTTGCAATATCAATAACAGGTGCAGGTACAAGTTTGTTTCTCAGAGGAGAAGAGAAATATGCAGCAAATTTGTCTACCTCGAATGTTGCAGACATTAGAATAACTTTTACCGAACTTGAATTCGTACGTAAAAGCTTTCGAACTACAAGTAAGAGAAAGTCCATGTCCTGATCCCTCTCGTGGACTTCATCCAATACAACATGAGTATAATGCAACATATTTTTCTCATTGATCAGTTTATGTAAAAGGACTCCTGTAGTACAGTAAGTCAAACGTGTATCGTGACATGTTTCATTTATTAGACCTACTTGATACCCTACAAGGGTACCTAATGGCCAATCCCTTTCTAGACAAACTCTTTTCGCGATACTTATTGCAGCTATACGTCTGGGCTGAGTGACTGTCAAATAATATTAAACATGAAAACAAGACTAAACTAGTTTTGTTTTATATACAGTCAGTGTAAAAAGTATTCGTACAGCACCCCATTTAAAATAAACGCTTCCTGTACGAATACTTATTACACTGACTGTAGACCAGAATTACCTATAATATTGCAGTGTTGACTTTTTTTATAGCAAGATTCCAAAATATACTGCGGTACTTGCGTAGTCTTTCCACAACCAGTCGGTCCTTGTATAACTACAACCGAATTGGTTTCAATCATAGAAACAATCTCATCTTTCTTAGATGTAATCGTCAAATTTGGTTTTGTATGATAAGCAAAATCATACGTCCGATAAATTTTCAGTGTCTCTTCATTCTCCTGTACAGGAATTGTACCTTGCGACACGAGTTCAAAATTTTTTTGATCACCGGTGTTATGAATCTGCGGAGACTAGGAATAAACAAAACTTTTAATAATAATCAAATTAATTTATAATTATTATGTAATTTACCTCTAAAAGTTCATTCTCCTCTTTTTTCACATATTCCGCGACGTAATCGGTTCCAGCCTCTCCTCTTCTTACATTTTCGCTTAATTGTGCATCTAGCAACGACATGTCCTTTGGTACGTGCTTTCTACTTGATGGTCCTTTTAATGTTTTTCTTTGAAACGTGCCTTTGGAATCGAATAACTCCATAAAATCCATCTCTTTTGCACGTGTTGCGTCTAAGACCATACACAATACTATTTAGTCTTATATAATTGATACAAAATTGCTTTTAAAAAATGTATTGTTTTACCTGTATTTTTATGTAAATACTTTTGTAGCATGTAACCTTCCCTTTCCTTGTGCCTTCGCGTAACATGAATCAATCAGAATTAATATGAACTGATGTGAATGAACTGAAATGAACTGAACTCAACTGGATTGACTGAAATGTTCAAAAAGTTCGACCTATTGTATCGATTTGTAACGTGTTCATCGTTCGCTAAATACAGGGTGTCCCAAAAATGTTGTAACACATTGAAAGCAAAGATACGGTATCCGCGCGCTCTGATTGGTCAGTGTTTTTCGTTAATATCTCCTCAACGAAGCCTCGGACAACATTTTCGCTAAGGTAAAAGTTGTTTCAAATCACCCCCGAACCACCTCTTTCAAGGTGTTACAACACTTTTGGGACATCCTGTATATCGATTACAACATCCGTGTTTGTTGCAACAAGTAGGTGTATTCAGTATTCTACTTGACATCACTGTACAAATTATAACCATAATATTTTTCTATCCTACATTCTTTGAATAACTTTCTACTTTTTAACTGTATTCTACAACGTAACTTAAGTGGTATTATGAAAGGCAGTAATTCAGATGAATTCAGATAATACACATAAAATGACTATGAATCCACGTGAGCAGATTTCGAATAAGGATAGGAAGGATGCAACAGATTCGTACGTGATTTTATGTCGATATTTATTTATACGATTTGAATGTACAGTTGCGATAACTTGTAACATTTGCATAGGAATTGGTGGCTAGTTTTTGGAATTATTGTCGTATTGACAGCAGCGACGAGATTCTACAAAGTTACAGAGCCTCAACATGTGTGGTAAGCTACATATAAACAAAAATATGTATTGTACAATTTATGATTTAGATGAATATAAATATTTTACTCCTATAGTTGGGACGAAACGCATTTTGGAAAAATGGGAAGCTGGTACATAAACAGGACGTTCTTCTTTGATGTCCATCCACCACTTGGAAAAGTAAGTAACACATATATAATCCTTTATTTGAATGTTAATGATCTACATTGTTAGTTTTTAGATGTTGATAGCATTGTCTGGGTATTTGACTGGTTATGATGGAAAATTTGCTTTCGAGAAACCAGGGGATAGGTTTGAGAACGTTGAATACCTTGGTATGAGAATTGTTAGTATAACTTAATGTTTCTATATTTATAAAAAGAAATTTGTTAACCCTGAAAATAATCTAAATTTATGCAGTACAAATATGTTGTATGTTCCAGTTTTGTACATTTTTGGGTGCAACCATTGTTCCTTTGTCATACCTCATTGTGTGGGACTTGACAAAATCTATTCAGGCATCGGTACTTTCTGCGTTATTTATTTTATTTGGTATGCATGTTGTTTTATATAATTTCATTTAAGAAATAAGGAAGACATTGATTTAATTTTAAGTTTATTTCCAGATGTAGGACTGTTGACATTAAATCAGTATATCTTGCTAGATCCTATACTTCTATGTTTTATGATGTGTGCAACTTGGGGAATGGCTCGTGTGGGTTCCCTCTGCAACGAACCCTTCACATGGAAATGGTGGAGTTGGTTATCATTTGCAGGAGTTTCACTTGCATGCACGATCAGTGTAAAATTTGTTGGGCTGTTTGTTGTTCTCCTTGTTGGGCTTTACACTGCTTTCGAATTATGGAGAGAATTAGGAGATCTTACCAAACCTATTGTAAGATTTCTTTATTCACTGTTTTCAAATTATCGGATTTGTAAGTGTCTACAGCGATGAATTAATTTATTACAGACATGTGTAGGCAAACACTTAGCAGCGCGATGTATTTGTCTCATATTATTACCGATGCTACTATATATGTTATTCTTTTACATTCATCTTTCTGTTTTAAACAAAAGGTAAGGAAATTAGTAAAGATTATGTATGTCTGAGAAGCATTAAATATTTTTAATATTTTAGTGGAAGCGGGGATGGCTTTTACAGCTCTGAATTTCAATCTTTATTAAAAGGAAACTCTTTATACAATGCAACGATGCCGCGCCAGTTAGCCTATGGAGCTAAAATCACCTTGAAAAATCATCGTACCGGTGGAGGATATTTACATTCTCACTGGCATCTTTATCCAGAAGGCATTGGAGCTAGACAACAACAAGTACTAATCTTATTATTTCGTATACTTCGCCATCCACTTCAGACGCTATCAATCGTTTCTTATACAGATCACGACTTACTCCCATAAAGATGATAATAATCTATGGTTAGTAAAGAAATCAGACATCGATGACATTCCATCCGAGCCACAATTAGTTAGGCATGGTGACCTCATACGATTGGAACATGTTGTTACGCATAGAAATTTACATTCGCACAAGGAGTTCGCGCCTATCTCCAAGAAACATTATCAAGTTACCGGATACGGCGAGGTATGTCTTTGTAATTTATATGTTTAATTATGTAATTACATAACTTTTTCTTTTAGAGCGGTACTGGCGATGCTAACGATATATGGCAAGTTTTAATTGTAAACGGCAAAGACGGCGATGTAATTGAAACAGTAACAAGTAAATTAAAGTTCGTACACTACCTACATCACTGCGTTTTAACGTGTAGCGGAAAAACGTTGCCAAAATGGTTAGTTTTGAATCGTTCTAAATTTGTCAAGTAAAGAAATCGTCCTCTAGAAATATTATCATTTTACAGGGCATACAGCCAACAAGAAGTTTCTTGTAACCCAAACATGAGGGATAAGAATGCATTGTGGAATATCGAAGACAACAACTATGCGAAGTGTTAGTATCGAAATACTTATGAATTGTAGAGTACCATCGATTAATTAATAATTTTTCCTCGTTTAGTACCAAACATCAGTTTCCAAGTCTACGCGCCAAGATTTTTAGATAGATTCTTGGAGTCGCACGCTGTCATGTTGCAAGGAAACGCAGATTTAAAAGTGAAGGAAGGAGAAGTATCGTCGCGACCCTGGCAATGGCCTATTAATTACAGAGTATGTCTTATAAAAAATGAAGACACTGAAACGAAATTAAAAAATAAATTTTCTAGGGGCAATTCTTTTCCGGTAACAATTTGAGGATTTACTTACTTGGCAACCCGATTATATGGTGGGGCAATATCGCGTTTTTGATCATTTTCATCGTGCTGTACATTTATGCATGTGTACGACAGCAACGTGGTTGCGTCGATCGTCCGGATGTACTCGAACAAAGAAACAAACTAGTAAATGCGGGCAAATGGCTGTTTATCGGTTGGATATTGCATTATCTACCGTTCTGGACAATGAGCAGAGTATTATATTTCCATCATTATTTTCCGGCTTTGTTGTACAATTCAATGTTGACTGGGATAACTCTGAACTATATTCTGGAAATTGTCCTCATTTTATTTGCAAACAGAATCGGATACGTGATCTATCACACAATACTGACCGTTATTATTTCAAGTACTGTATACAGGTAAGCGGATAATAGGTTCTTACGAACGTCTATCGTAACAAAGACGACGTATATAAATTTGTTTCAGTTTCTACTTGTTTTCTCCGTTGGCGTACGGTATGGTTGGTCCCTCCGCGCAGGATCCTGAAAGTTCGCTACATAGTTTGAGGTGGCTGGATACTTGGGAATTTTAAGAAAGATTTCCGTTATTTAGGAGATAATTATTTACAAGTTCATTAAGTATGAATAATATTCAGTAAAATCAATCTGATATTACTATACATTTTTATAACTATTTTCTTCGATGACTTCTAGGGAGACAATCTTCACATATCACGTTATTAATCATAAAAGTTTATGAAAAGATGCAACGAGGGGAAAAAGTTTCCAACACTTAAGAAACATATAAGACTTAATTATAGACGAACAAACTTTTTATATATTTATACAAATAATATAAATTATTTACAAGACATGCTTTTGATTATTCAGCCCTTGCTATCATTTTTGTTATTTTCAGGACCTTTTAGAAGAATGCTTCATGTTGAATAATAGACACAGAAATAAAGATACTTGTGGAGATTCTTTAGAAGAAGATAACGCTGACGGCGCCGAAAACGAAATTAATCATTTCCGCGCAGACATCCGCAAGGCCAGCGCGATTTAAAAGGCTTCTGGCGAGCGTGGTGCGCTCAGCTGATCGACCCACGTGCTGGGCTGCGCCGCGGCACCGCGACGCTTTGTCCTGATTCAGTATTAAACGTGCGGTTAAGAAGAAATCCTGAATCACACCCACTCCCTGTTACATTGTCTCTCTCTATCGCTCCCTCTATTTAATAGCACGAGTTCAGAACACGTCGAGCTATTTACACAGTGCTAACCGTTCGTTTCTGAACGCATTCGGTTGTGATCGTGGCGCGAATTTGTCCATGTAAGAGCGATCGATAAACACCTCCCGGGGATTTTCAGTCCGTCGGGCAGCCGCGAACGCGCTCTCTCACGTGAGACCGGGAATAGCTGTCAAAACGACCCACGTGTTCCTACGAGTTCTCAGTACGTGTACGCGCGTGTACAGTGAGAGACAGAAACCGTAACGCATCCGAGAGAACAAGACCATGACGTGCTCGCCAGATGAGGAGAACAATAGCGTTCAGTGAGATCCCAGCGTTGCGGGATAAACGGGTTGAACGCTTTGCGTCATACCGCGGTGAACTATTTATTAATCAAGAAATCACTCGGTGGAGTCGATAGTAAGTACATAGATAGAAACATCAAATGTTTCATACAGATGTTTTGTAGAACGTAATTACCCGTTGATGTAAACTTATCCTTAATAGCGAGCGGATGACGAATTAGAGTAAGTGCAAGCTTGCAGGCTTGCAGGCTTTTGTAGATAAGTAGACGGAGGGATCGTATTGCGGGTGAACTGACTGATGGGGGAGTGGGGGTGGAAGGGAGGGAGCCAATGATTGCGACAAATAGCAAAGTCAGTGAACCGAAGTCATGAGATGCGATGTAAAATGAACCGTATGCATTCATGTAACACCGCGTGACTAATCTTGTCGATGATCGGCCGACCGAAAGATACTGCGACCAGCGGATAGACTCGCTATAATAGCGAGGCTAGGGCTTGTACACGGTTCAACTATCGTTTCTTCCTAGACCCGTGACCGTAAATCGTCTCGCGAACCCTTTCAGGAGCTATTCATGCGTGCGTTGCGATACTGTCTCGGGGAAGCGTCAGTGTCGAACGGTAACTCTCAGAGTTCGCTCGACCAGCGGCGCGCACAACGCTCGTTCGACTGACATTATCGGAAATATTCGGCCGACGAGGGTCGCTAGGGCGGCTGGTGAAATTCCCGCGCTAACTTCGATTGGCCGACAAAGTTGCTGGAAAGTCGTGGCGAGCATCGGCTGAAACACTTGTTGCTGGACCGATACAGAGACATCTTGATAGCGAGGATTTCATCCTGCATTTATCCAACCCCCTCGAGATACTATTTGCTCTTCGTTGACTCTCAGAGTGGAGGTATAGAAAAAAAGCGATAGGATTATTTTGTAAATGAACAGAACAGAGATTTTGATTGTAAGGACACGTTGGAAACGTGAGATCAGAGGTTTAAAATTTATGTTAATCTAAATTCAATTGGTAAACAAGTATGGTAGTTTTAAATATAATTTGGATAGAGAACTAGCGAGAACACTGCGCGTAGTCTGATAATTTGCGCGTCTCTGTAGACTTACGAATCTAAACTGTCTCAGGCGAGCGTTAATCGAGCGTAAATGCACGTATCCGTGTACTGACGGCAGCGGAGTTAATGCGGCAATGATTCGAATACAATGTCTACTAAACCCTCGTAGGGAGGAAGTACTTTGCGTCTATCTAATAGCCTTACAAAAATATTATATTTTGATTATATCTATCATTAAGTAATTCTGTTAAGAATATCTTTCAAAAAAAAAAAAAAAAAAAGAAAAAACTGCGTTAAATTCTTGTAAGCATATACTTCTAGACAATGTCTAATATCAATATACAAAGTATCAAAGTATCTTCCTTTTTAAGAGGGAGTATTGGTATCATAATCTTATCGCAAAACACGATAATTAATCTGTGTTCCATTTCTGTAAACGAACTCGACGCACGTTATTGTTACTATTAGGGCATGCGTATAAATGCACGGTTAAGTGATTCTAATTGAAATACGATCACCGAATCGCCTGTACCAGCTGGGAGTACACCCATCTCCGTTCGCTGGCCAGCGATACGAATACATTATAAAGGAACCCGTTCAAACGATTCGTTAATCAACTATTCGAATCCGATTGGCGAGCGGTCACGTTATAGGAAATCGATTCTTTGCGTATTATTCAACAGCCCCGGCTCAACTGTCACGAGGCTACTAATTTATTTGGAATCGTTCAGTATGGAACTGTATCTCCTCTGTGACGTGTATTCCTTCGTCAACCGGAGAGGAACGAAACGTTACCGCGTGACCGTCCAAGCTCTGATAACGCGGTCAGATAAGCTATCGGTTCGTTCGGGGCACAGGAAGTGCGCGAATTAGCAATGGCATCTGACCTACTTGATTCATTTCCTCCTCGCGAATGATCGCGAATTGGAATATCACCTCGTTGACGGTGCCATGCTATCTCGATCTAATTCGCCTGTTATTGCGAAACCAATACCGCGTAATCGCGAGGAAATGATTAGGTTCGCTCTGACTCTACGTACAGCTTACCAGAGGCTATCCTTGATTTTTAACGTAACACACAGGGTATGAGATGTATCTGATTTATACGATTCGTTTTATATATAAATATTATATTCTTCTCTTTCTGTGCAGACGAGCTAAACAGAGGACTCTTTCTACCGAGTAACTAGAAGAGGTCACTTGTTATGTGGCGGATCGTAAGAGCTATAATATGCGGGACAGCGTATTAGTAATTTTATTAGCATGGATTCTCGCGATAGAACGTGGACTCTGCGGCAAACTCGAGCTGGTCGCTCAACGACCGAAGAACGTTCTCGAAGACTATTACGCCTACCGTCACATTTCCATCATCCACTTCAACGTACCAGACACCACTGTCGCGGCAGCATTCAAGTAAATAGTCCAATGGAACAGGACCCTGTGTATAATTAAACATACTAAACAATAGTAGAATAATATAATACCGCGTCTCTAGATCATGTGTTTTAAAACCTACAATAATATCTTAATGAGAAGATGTTAATGGCGAACCATGCGTTCCAGGTTCACTGTAAAAGAAAAGAAAACTGGAGGAATAGGTAAATGCTCCGCGCGGGACGTCTCCCTGTTTCTGAAGTCTGGCAGCCTGCCGTTCGTCCGTCCCGATGGCTCAAAGATAGCAGCCAAGCTCATGAAAGGGAGACGTCGATACTATTCTTTGAACATGGAGAGCGACGGCGAAGAGTACATGATCAGAATCGATGCACCTTCGCCTGGCGATTGGTACGCCATTGCGTTCCGATCCTGGTCCGACCCTGACAATGGGAAAATTACGCAAGAAGGTAATTCTTTACGTCAGCTATCTATATTATCCAAGCACCTACACATAATAGTGCAATATCATAACACGGTACTTTTCTTCAGGCCTTGGTGCTTCGTGCGACACGGTGCTGGACGCCGAGTTACTGCTGGAATCTGCGTCGATAGTGTCCCTGGTGGACCCAAAATCGAAGTACGAGGTGCAAATGAACGAGAGCGTGGATTCAGCCGTGATGCAGCTGCTGATCCCAGACGAATTCGTGGACTCCAGTCTGTCCCTGAAGTCGACCTGCGGCGAGGACTGCAAGATAGCGGTCCACGTCACCGCGGAAGACCATCTCGCTGGCGTGATCGTGAACACCACCAACGCTACCTTGTTCTTTAAACCTTACTCGGACGCTTTCCACTATGTAACTCTTCGTTTGCTCTCTGGAGAATCCTCGAACGTGTCCTTCCAATTGACCGAGACCCCCTCTGTCGATTCAGGGCAAATGAAATCTGTGAATCTCATGAGAAAGTCGCTACCAGACTTCTTCCTCTTCGATTACGAACATCTAATGGAGAATGGCACGAAACCATCTGCGTTCAATCTCACCGCAGACACCCTGTCCGTCCTTAGCTTCGAGATTGGTAGAGTGTACGACGTCGGTGGGACGCTGACTCTGGGCTTCAAACTTGTAGACGTCCAGGACAACGACAAGAAGACCGTCGTTGTGGCCGTGTGCATTTCTTTAGGTCAGCAGAATCTGTAAGACATGTCGAGGGGTTATTTAACACGTTGATCGCCACGTCACCCATATATGGGTGACAGTGCTTTTCACTGAAAAACGAAAACTATTCATTCTGAATGTTAAGTGTCATAGTAAATGAATTTAAATGAAATACTCGAATTTTGATGAAGTTACAGAACTAAATACCAAAATAAATGTTTCATTACGCAGTTTCCAAAAGTCTGTAAACAAAATGAAATCGCAGTAGAAATTTTCAAGAGTATTAGTCTGGCAGTGAACGTGTTAAGAGGGTAGACGAGAGTAGGATGAGGTAGCTGGGACAAATGAGAAGCTGTATGCCAGTGTAAAATAGGTTTTCTTTTATTCAAAAGGATGGAGAGAAGATCCCTTTAAATAACAAAATACCATTACTCCAGGTTACTACTCCAACATCACTGCCAGTGGAGGCTGCTTGCGCATGGACAGCACAACGCCAGCGGACATCTACGTGAACTCTACGGGACCAGCCGTCCTGCACGTCCCCTTTCCCGAGCCAGGCATCTGGCACGTGAGCTTGAGAGCGTTCTGCGTTGAGGAGAGTTGCAACTGTGTCGATAATTGCCTGAACGGCACTGGCTGCGACGATTGCGATTGCATGAGCCCCTGCGACGCGAGAATAGAGAGCCGCGTCTCTTCTTTGCCGTGCATAGAGGGTCGTTGCAACTCTCGTGGCAAGTGCATGCACTACATGAGCGGAGGATTCGTGTTCGCCGCGTGTCATTGTTCAGGAGCGTACCGAGGATTCGACTGCGCGGACGATACCTATGTTCTGGGGACCAGCGACGTGATCATCCGAGTGGTGCTGCTCACCTTCAGTAACCTCGCGTTCATCGGGTCTATCTACGTGGCTGTGCGTAGAGAATACTTCACGGAGGCGATCGTCTACGCCGCCGTGATGTTCTTCTCGACGTTCTATCACGCCTGCGAGGCTGGAGAGGACGTCTACAGCATTTGCATTATGAAATTGAGCGTTCTACAGTTCTGCGACTTCTTCAACGCTCTTCTGTCTATCTGGGTGACGCTGGTGGCGATGGCGTCGTTTGGACCGAAGCTCACCGCATTTTGTCAGATAGCTGGGGCTGTTATCCTCGCTATGAGCGCAGAGTTGGACCGTACCGCTCTCTGGGTGTTCCTTTTGCCCGCTGTTACAGGTTCTGCTTTGATCGGGCTTTCCTGGGGCGTCAGGTGCAAGAGGAGGGCCACTGTTCGTTATCCTTTGCGTCCTTATAGGTATATCCTGCTTTTATAAAGTATTGAATCAGTATACTTCATTAATTGTATTATTTCATGTTGACAGAAGTATTTATTTCCCGGCTGGACTTCTTCTAGTCTCCCTTGGTCTGGTCTGCTACGCGTTCCTACAGACGCGAAGCAATTACTACATTGTTCATAGCTTGTGGCACGTGTGCGTTGCTGTTGGAGTGGTGCTGCTCCTGCCGAAGCGGCAATACATGAAGTGATCGTTAGCGTAACAGATGAAAGTTGTAGAATGTAACAATTTTACCGGGAACCTCGTTGCCAAGTCGAAGGAAACACGTACAAAGAATATTCGTAGTGATCAACGGTGCTCTTAGGCGATCACGCAACGAATATTGTAGATATCAGAGATCTTATTCTTGTAAAACTTGAGAAATTTTCATAGATAGGAGGCCATTTGACGGTTGAATACATTCGAAGAGCAATACGAATCGAACAGCGACAACAAATACAGATTTATTCGAGATTCTAATGTACACCCTCGTTGTCGGCGGGTTCATGTAATTAGCGAACACCGTGTGTATCATTATATTGCAATTAAGATATATTTACCACACAACGAGAGCACTCAGATGATGTTTCACCCAAATGCTTAACGACTTGCATTCATCGAGTTTATTAATTGCAACTTAATTATATATTTTTTAACAATACGTTGCATGCATCTCGTCAAAGGTTAAAGAATTTCTGGAACAATACTTGTACATGCAGGGAATATCCGTGTATCTGTAACGCTTTACCGTATGTTGGATATAATTATAAATCTCTGATGGATTCGTTGTCTTCAGAATTAAGTTCCAGTTGGACTATCGGTGATCCAATGCTCCAGCTCGATATCAATTCTAGCGAATTGATTCCGTGTCTCTATGGAATCAAGTCCTTGCGCGTGGATATATATATACATATATACATACGCCTTCAAAGATCAATATATTTCTATACACCTCCTTTGGGAGCAGTAGCGACGTTGAAGTAGACTGTGCCTACTTCGTTCAAATACATTATAACGACAAACATATTATAACGTATACAGTAGTGGCCATAGAAGTTAGACTATCTTAAATATGTTAATATTTCTGATTGAACTCTCAACAGAGAAGTAACTGTGCTATTAGAAATATTCACATTAAAGCATATACAATTTATTACAATGAAACAAGTTAGTGTCGCACATGTATCCACATATTCGACTGTGTTTTTAATGGTACAATTTCTATGGCTGCCACTGCAGGTGATACGAACGCATGTACATACATATAGTGGAAGAGATTTGTGAAACAAACTAAATAAATTAAAGACAACGCTCGAGATGATAAAAACAGATCGAGTATTATATAAAAAGACAAGACTTCGCGTGTTTGTCCCGCAAAGGCGCCGAATAAACGTACGGACTAATAGATTGAACATCGTTGCACCATGTAATTACCTTGGGCAGTTTGTCTCAAGCAAGGACCGTGAAAAAAAAAAGAAAACGACTGTCCACATCTGAGAAAAGTAGTCACGACCGCACGCAAAAGTGCACAAAGTAACAACCCTGTCGTTTTAAGCGAGAGGAATTTCACTTTTCTTAGATCGCCTGCGTGTAAGACAACGAAATAAAGAGTTACACGGATGCCTGATTTTGCGAATTTGGCTTTAATACACGAATCGTCGAGAAGTTGCCTGCAACTATCGTCGCCTACGACTCTAGACTACGTCGCTCCATGGGGAGCTGGTCATTAATTGTTACAGTAAATCTATGAACTAAATTTAGTCGAGTAGAAATCACAATGTAGAGGAAACTTTAAATTTGACGAGGCTAATGCTAAACTGAGGCTTCAGTTGGCTTCTTCGAATCAGGCCTTAACAATCTGGCCTTCCTAATCTCCATTTTCATTTCATTTCGTTTCATTTCATTTACATTCTCAGTTACAATGATCCTGATACCGTGGGAGTTGTCGATGGCCCCGTGTTGATCGCAGCAACTGCAGTGATGACGTTCGACGCAAGGGACAGCATAGTCTCCATGGAGAAGCCGCAGTGCGGATAAGTCTTTGAACAGTTCCGACCATTCCTTCCAACTTCCACTGCCTCCTGTATCGCGGTCCCTTCCATGGCTGTGCGGAAGAACTGATTAGTCGTTATCGCGTCGAACATCTTGTCGAACGACGAGACCTCTTCCTCCTCGTTTAGCTGGTTGGCATCTCTTGTGGACGATGCTGCGTGTTGCGAGTAGGTGCACACCGCACGTTGCATGCAGGATGTGGAGTCTATACCGTGGCGAGCCAGGACGTCGTCCATTTTGGTTACTATGTGAGCCACGCCGTTCTCTTCACCTGGAGTGAAGATGTACAAATGTGAGTTCAAGGTTGAGTTAATTGAGTTAATAAAACTTGGAGGGAATTTTTGTTGGAAGTAATTTACATTTCTATAATGCTTGTTTAGAGAAGGCGAAGGACTTACTTCTTGCATAGTGACCATAAGTGCCAGAGAGGACATACAGCAGCTTAGGTATGATCAGGATGGAGCCTACTCCAATGATAGCACCTAGCAGCAAGCCTCCCAGATCTATTTTCGCAGGCGCGTAAGTCGTTGCTCCGTACCCCTGTGGCAATTTTTATAGCAAGTAAACTTTGATCTTACGCGATTCAGAATGGATAAGAATGGCTACTCACACTGCCTGTGCTGCCGATATTCGTGAAACCAAATCTAGGTTCTTGAGAGCGGTCCGCAATGTCGTTGGCATCCGTATCATCGCGTTTTGTCGGTATCTCGCTTTGTGGATCCACTTGGGAAGGCATGGCTATCTGGTCGTGGGACTGTCGACTCTTCTCCATGTAGATCATGGAACTTGGAACGAACCTAAAAACTCGTTATTATCATTGTTCATGTTGGGAGAAGATTAAATTGATCTTGAAGTGGTCTTCAAGGGAAGGAAATAGAGTAGGTATTAATTTAACAAATGTTTCCCTTTCACAGTCATAATTCTACATATCAACTGAACTTAAATACTAATCTTACCCTCCATCATCTAGTTTAGGATTGCCTCTGACAACCACCGTTGAAGATAGCAGCAAAAGAGCAAGGTTCTGGAGATTTCGCGACATCTGGAAAAAGAAAAAGGTCACGTCTTGTAAGATACACACTACAGAGTATTTTAAAAAAGGGATGAATAAGTAAAGGAAAAATTACATTTCGTTTCAGAAGGGCCCACTTAAGCGTACCTTGCAGTGGCAAGGATAAGAAAATGGATGAATGTTTGAGGGAGCGTCGTTAGGATCGGTTACGAAGAAACTGCACGACATGAACGTGATCCTTGGAATATATAGCGATACACCTACTCTCCCTGTCGTCGTCACGACACGACGAACCGTGGACATAATTGGGCCCAGTGGTTTCGCTTTCGTTGTTAGATTTTCATAGGACGTTATCACGGTGCGTGACTCGTTCGTCTCTCCTGAGGGAGCATGAGGACGTCCATTGTCGCCGCATTGTTCTCGTAGCTGGTAAACATGTGTACCCACTTTGAAATACTTAATTCACCTTTCGCAATGACACTGTTTGTTGACAGGTAGAAAGATCTCTTCCTAGATCTTCAATGGTCACTGAGGTGAGTCGCTTTCTGGTGTGAAGAGTTTTCCAGAAGGGCCTTTAGAATCTTCTTTTCTATTCAAATACAAGTGGTACGAAATCCATCTAATTCTTTTATTTTAAATGAAAGCACAAGTTGTACTTGAGCAGGATGATGCCCTTTAACTGTTACAATCTTCAAGCTATCTTTTGGAAAACTGTATTATGAATGCATGAAAAACATGAAAACCTCTAGAAACTGGAATACCTTGAGTTCGTTAAACTGAGGAATTTGTTCTGCAGGTTGCCCTGGAAAATTCACGAAAGCCAATTTCCCCTCGTGTGCGTGCATCAACAAAAGTGGCATAGGAGTGGATAGACAAGTAAATTAAAAAATGATTCCAATATTCTCATTCAATTGTACCTTATTCGTCCATTGATTCTCACGCCAAATTCCAACGTCACCTGTATCTAAATTGATTGAAATTTCAGGAGGACCTCTCTTATATGACTATGGCTCTCTTACTGGTGAAAATAATATGGGTGCAAGCAAATGCAATTACGACACATGGAATTGTAAGCGCGAACCTACGAGGTTTTTAGCCGTGACGACGACTGGCTGGCATAATCGCCGCGGCGAATGCTTAGTTTCGCGACAGTAATTTGACCAGAAATCTCTCTTAGGTTCGTTAATTTCGCTCGAGGAAATTTCCTATTTGTCGAGGGTAGGCTAGCGCCCGTACAAAAACTGGCGACGGGTTCAAGGATTCGTCACACGTAGTTTTGCGCTCGCCTGCAATTAGTCGATTCAACACCTGCGTAAACGTAAGTCTTGTCAACGTTTCAATAACGTTTAAACTATTCCTCGCCGATTTTTAAAGGAGACTTCTGAACCTTGTGACGACGTTATTTTATTTTATATTTCAGGGATATAAATTATGGCGACGGTAGAAGTGACCACTTTGTTCTTTCTCTCCATGCTGCTCACTACTAAAGCAACTAATCTCAACTCTGATGTAAACTCCAAGGCTTCAAGGACTCACAGTAAAACATTTAATCATAGTCCAAAAGGTGGACTGATCTCCTTTAACTCTGAGCAAGAAAAGCTTCGCGTAAGTTCTATTCGGATATGTACTCTATCTAAAGGTTTCTATGAAGATGTTGAGTTTCCCCACCAATCAAAATTATTTCTTTTCTAAAGAGGGTTCTTTATTCAGAATAAAATTTCAACTCTGATTCGTATAAAAATTGGTAAAACTCATCTTCTCAAGCTGAATAAACTCGAGTTTTGTTGGCGAGCAACTCGAGGTCAACTCGAGCCAAGATCTTTCCTTCGAAATCTTTCAGATCGACTGGGCCGTGACTATCCCCTTCATCTCGATACCTCTAAATCACAGGATTGGAGATCATGGGGAAGTTCTGCCACTGCTCGACGTTAACACTAAAGCTCTCGGATTCGTTGGCCTCTTGACCACCATCTTCAGCATTGCTACGCCTCTGTTTTCAAAGAACCACCACCCTCAGCTAAACTATCGTAAGTAGAGGAAGAAAGCATTTATTTAGTTTAACTCTTGTAAATAACTGTGAAAATTTATACTCTTTTCTATGGACTTACAGGCTCAGAAGATAACCAGCAATGGTCACAAATAAAGAACTCCCTCAATGAGATGGTTTTTGGTAACAACTATGTGGCACCCTGTTTGCAACGCGTAGTTTGCTCTATCGTTTCAGTAGCAGCGCACAGGGAAAGCCCAACGAGTATGGACAAGATAATCGATGGTTTATCAAGGCAAGATTTTAATAAAATTACTTTTATTTTAACCAGATGGAGTTTCTAATACATGTTCTGATGTTTGATGTTTTGTTTATTTCGTATTACAGTCATGAGTGGTTCAAGGACGTAACAAATGGCACCATCATCCAAAACGCTGTGAACGTGGGACGAAAAGGAAACCGCGATTGCGCTCATGTTTATAAAGATTGTCTGATTACTCCCAAACTTCTCAAGACCATGATGAGCGAATTGGGAATCGTGTGAGTGAATCTATCTGAATAATACACACCAAAACTCTTACACAACATGCTATTTGGAGCAAAATTTTAATATTCGAGTATCCTCGTTATATTTTTGTATTGTTATGTATGAATAAACTAGAAAGAGAATATATTTTGCACAAGAATGTAGTTTCTTCCTTTACCTACTCACGTAAAATAGTCTTTAAATTTATCGATAAGCCATATCATAGAAGAGTTTATAGTTAATGTTGCTCTAGGAAATACATTATTATAGTAGCGTAAGCGTGACGTGGAACGCCGTCGCATGATTCAGATATAATTATAGTTGTACAGACTTTCACTTTTCAACGACACCATGATCTAGAAAAAATTTGTCATCAAGAGGGATTAATTCAAGGCTGGTGCATGTATAGTAAGTATATAAATTAGAAAATAAATAAGGATTAATCGATTGTCAATCGATAAAAAGATAATTTATATACCATAGACAACATTGCAGTCATACTTTGATAGTTCATAATTTTTCACATCATACTTTCACATTTGTACTTTCATCTAGTAATTTTGACCGCGACACTCGGTGCAGGGTTCGGTGGGTCTGGAAGCGAAAGCATCAACTCCGCTTGTGTGGAACCAGCCGCTTTGGCGAGGTCGTACGGCGTCAAACCCATCTTGTCATAGCAAGTCGTCTCTACGCCATAATCCAACAGGAACTTAAGAGCTTGCACGTTATTATGCAATGCAGCAAAGTGCAACGGTGTCCTTCCAGAGAAGTCCTTCTGCGAGAGGTCAGCGTTTGCCAAATAAAACGATGTCAGTCGTTTCACATTTCCTACAGCCGCTGCAGCGCAAATTTTCTCGCCTATCAGATATGCGCTTCCATGCAGGTGAGCTCCACATTGAAGTAATACTTTGATAATCTAGAAATTTTAAATATCGATTTATTATTTATATAATAAATATATTCTGAGTGTTTGATAGGACATCGGTAGGAGTCTAATTTGGAAAGATTATTTAACAGAATAATATTTACCTCGTGATGATCATATTCTATGGCATCAGTGAGCACAGTACGATCAAATCTATCTTTGATATGGACATTCGCACCCATTCTCAGAAGACACTGCACGACGTTCAAATCTCCTTCACAGCAGGCAATGTGTAACGCAGTGCGACCATCAGCATTTCTTTGAGAAATGTCTGCTCCCTGAAATAAAAAAAAGATCATAATTCAGAAGCCGAAGCGCCTCTGTTCGATCAAATTGAATCTCCACTTACATATCCTTTTAAAGATTCGAGTTTTACGACGTCGCGCGCTAGGACAGCGGCGTTCAACATAGCAGGAAAGAGAATGGTGCCCAATTCCTGAAACTCTGCAGTCGAGGAGATCCTCAGGGACCTAGCAACCGCCTCCACCAGGTCTAGATCTTGGAGCTGAGGTGGTCGTCCCGCAGTTAACTCTCCGCAGAGATTCGTCTGCATCATTTGCCGTTTCATTTCAGTGTCCCATTCCTTTTTTGATAACACGTACGACAGTTTGGTGAGGGCAGCCTCTGGCGTCATATCACAACCAGATATCACACCTGCATATTACGTACATCTTGAGACACGTGCCATAAATCGTCATTTATCTACTGGAAATAGACTGGAATAGGTTACATACATATGGCAAACGCTGAGTGTTTGAATTTTAAAAGAGATCAACCTGAGCAATCTGAACAGTTGCAATTTGAAGATATATACCGTACCAGCATCTTCGAGCTGCTTCCCAGGTTCGTACATTCCCGAGACGCAGCCCGTCGAGCACTGCGTTATGTTAATTATGATCACCCCGCGTTTCGCAGCCTTCCGTAGTTCTTCCATTATATCCTCCCTATTCGTAGGTATGTTTCCTGCCCCGTAAGATTGCAACACGACACCTTCGATAGTAGGTTGCAAAAACGCCTTCACCAGATCCGTGGTTATGCTTGGGAAAATGCGGAGCAGCCCAACATTCCTGTTCAGGACTGCGTGCACGTGGAACTTCTCCAATGTACAAGAGCGAAAAATTGCTCGATAATCCACTGAAAATACATATACTATATATTGAAATATAAAATATATGTTATACATACAATATATATATAAATATATAAATACTAATATGTAATAATATATAATATAATAATATATAAATAAATCTACAATATATGAATATTGAAATATATATTATGTATTGAAAATATATATATTAGGTTGTCCTAAAAGTTTCTTTCGTTTTATTAATAATTAATTCCTACACAATATTGTATGTTTTAAGTTATATTACAAAATTGTGTACAATTCATTTCGCTCCATTACTGTTACAGCATCAATGTCTAAAAAATTAGATTGTCTATTTATATAAACACTGCCACATAAAATACTTGAATGCAACTCACGAAAGAAACTTTTAGGACAACCTAATATATATAACGTAGATCTATTTGCTCCTGAGTCAAAGCTGTTGCAGTCATTCAGGCGCAACCTTCTGTGCATGACAATTTTTTTACAGAACATCAAGACTGCCCCCTGAACGAATGCATCTGTTTGCTCCTGTGTCGAGATGGTTGCAGTCATTCAGGGGCAATCTTCACATGCACAAATCTACGAAGATTTTCCCCTGCGTGAATGCAACCCGTCTTGCTTAAAAGATAAAACGCTCCATGCAGAGCAAAATAACATCAATCAAACTAATAAAAATCAACCTTCGATCTTAATGTTAGCTTTCGCCAGCGGTGGAAAGTTAGGGGAGTCGAACGCCTCGAAAGACGTAGCAGAGACTTTGCTAGTCCTGTTGCCTCTCAACAAGTTCGTTCCAAAGAACACGCACACTTCTGGTATGTTGTAATTCGCGGCTATCACCAGGGAAGAAAGGAAGTTGTCCAAACCATCGCTCCTGGTGTCGAAAATCGGCACCTGAGAGCCGGTTAATATCACTATCTTGCCCAGATTCTCGAGCATGAACGACAGAGCGGACGCTGTGTAGCTGAGCGTATCCGTTCCGTGGAGCACGACGAATCCGTCGAAGTGTTCATAAGATTGCTGAAATAATGTAGGTTTTAAATCAACTTTCATTTATAAATAAGCATCGATTACGCTACAATTTATTAAACATCCAACGGTCAAATGATAACCGCCAAACGAGATGTAAACATACTGTAGATAGAATCAGTCTAAATTCTGATGAAATCCATGCTATTATTCATGAGAACATTAATGTTAATTCTTAATTAAGAACGTGACAAGATAGAGTATCGAACACCTACAACAATGTTGACCTATGATTTCCAAGGTCTGCAATAATGATTTGGGTAGCATCGAAACTATACCTTAATATCATTAGCGATACGGATCCAGTCGTCCATGGTCATATTACTAGAGTCGCACAGCAGTGAGTACTCCAACACGCTGTAAACGACTCGTCGGCTGTCCGTGGCGGTCATCCTAGCGATAAGAAACGTTTTAGAGGCACGCTTAGGCACGTCACGCAATTGTAATATTTATCTTATCAGTACCGCCGATTTTCCCCAGCGTTTCGCTGAGAATCATCAGCTCTAATGATATCTACACACTTACGGAAGCACCAGGGGTCCCATGCTTCCAAACCGCTTCTCAGCGTACTCGCGGTCGTGCATGTGAGGATAGTTCCGCAGGTTCTTCACGAACGCGTTCGCCTTGGGCACAAGAACTAGAACAAAACAATATAGAGCTTAGAAATTGTTGATTATAGAACATATTAGAACTTGGGGCAGACTTTGGTTCCAAGCGACATTCAGTAATTGATATTGTTTTCTTTATTTAATACAAGAATGGTTACTGACTAACACATAGAGAATAAACAGGAAGTTTGTAATTCTATTGTACCTCCATGTTCATTCCTAATCATTCCAATAGTCCCGCCAGTGTACAGGACCAACACTCGGCCATCCTTGCCGCTCTCGCTGGCCAGATGACCGGAACTATGGTTCTTCGTCAGTTCCATGCCTCCTCCTTCATTGTTGAAGACGTGATTCTCCTTGTTTATGGTTCTTACAGGTGATAAGGACATGCTGCCTCGCCACGTGTCCACGGCTGAGTATTATCTCCAGGTGTTCTGTTAAGAATAATCGGTTATACAATTTATTTCGAGTACGGATTAGACGCTCGAGCCGCAGACGCGCGCTTTCCAAACGAACGTCTACATGTGTGTTTGGAAGAGGTGGTTATGGAAGCAACCACCGCGAGACCTAGATACATATACGGATTTTATAGACAATGGCGTAGAACTCGCGGAATTGTTTCAGACCTCTAGGGTCAAACGTTAGATTAAACATTTTTTTAACGCCACTGCGCGACGAATACTTTCACGAGTCAAATATGGCGAGTCTAAAAGAGGGGGGGAACTGAACTATACAATAATAAACTTCGCAGAGATAACGTTTCTAATACTGTTTTCTATTTTAAACGACGATCGATGGGTAACGCTATCACAGAAATATTCAACGTACTTTTTGTACGATACTTTTAGTACAGTGCAATGTTGTAGACAAATACAGGGTGTCCCAAAAATGTTGTACCTAGGAGTTCTTTATGTCGAGAAATAAAAAATAGGTGAGTCGAGGAAGTTTGGATGTTTAATTATCTAATCTAATATTAATTAAGGTGCTTTAGATTCTAAGGCTTGGAGTAGCTTTTATCTTCGCGGAGGAACTTTCCCAACCTTGAAAGGGGTGGTTCAGGATATGATTTGAAACAACTTTTTCTATAGCGAAAATGTTGTACGAGACTTCGTTGAGGAGATAATAATGAAAAACTCCGGATCAATCAGAGCGCGCGTATGCCAATGGAACGGCCGCGGTAGGCGTGGTCTACGCGCTAGGCGGCCGCGCTCATACACTACCGCGGGCACCCCAACGGTATCCGCGCTCTCTGATTGGTCAGTGTTTTCCGTTAATATCTTCATAACGAAGCCTCGGACAACATTTTCGCTAATGAAAAAATTGTTTCAAATCACCTCCCGAACCACCCCTTTCAAGATATTACAACGTTTTTGGGACACCCTGTATATACAGAGTGGAGGTGATTTGAAACAACTTTTTCGTTAGCGAAAATGTTGTACGAGACTTCGTTGAGGAAATAATAATGAAAAACTCCGGACCAACCAGAGCGCGAGTATGCCTTTGGAGCGCTCTGATTGGTCGGGGTTTTCTGTTAATATCTCCTCAACAAAGTAACTCCTAAACTAATGTAAACACCTGTGATAGACCTATCCTTGGTAGGTAACGCGTCGCTCTTCAAATAAATCGGGAACGTCGAAGTGTTGAGTCACGCGAGAACTATAATAGAATTATTTGAAACTATAATAGACTCGATGATGTTGAGGAATTTTACAATCCCTGGAAGCTCGAATGTTTAAAACACACGAGGGATTGGATTTCTCTGAACTCCGTTACAACTCTAAGCTGTTGTGTCAGAGAGATTAGCAAGTATTATGTAAATGCGAGGAATTATCTAGTATAAAGGTTCTGATGCAACTTGTCGCGCATTTTCCTGGAATTATGGATATCTAAAAAAAAATATATGTATATATATATATATACATGTCGAATTGAGTAACCTCCTTCTTTTCGAAGTCGGTTACAAAATACTTCGCTGAAGATAAATAAACAAATTTTAGATACGTACAAGTAACCAGCGTCGCAGATTTTGATTATGACGGGATAAGTAATTATTTAACACGATTAATAGACGAAGCGTTAACGAAGCGCACGTATAAATTCGATCTAACGCTGTTAACAGACATAGTTATTAATAGATGATGTCACAGGAAGAATGATTAAACACCTGTGCTAGAAAGCATCACTGTGAATAATGTGCACACGTATGGTACACATTTAGAAAGTTTCTCCCCGAAGATAAGCTACTCCAAGCCTTAGAATCTAAAGCACCTTAATTAATATTAGATTAGATAATTAAAACATCCAAACTTTCTCGACTCACCTATTTCTTATTTCTCGACATGAAGAACTCCAAACTCAACAACGCTCCACTAAACGCGTTGCACTTTTAAATTTCTATCGATCACTGAATCTATCTATTTATCGACCGCGTGTGTTCCTTCCTTTATCGTCGGTAAATAAAATTTTGTATACAATGTTCCTTCAACTATTAACTCCTGACAATATATATCAATATTTCCTTGTTTCATCCATGCACACGTGTTTCACGATTTAAATTTGTATTTGTAACGGTTTCGATTGATATTTTTTTTTTTGCTTAACTTTCTCGCACGTGACAAGCACCCACATACAATCACATACAATACGTTCTAAGTACATTTAACGACCAATCGTTTTGCAAAATGAGCGTTGCTTATTGAAACGAATCGCCAATCTTCGTTAGTCGCTTAAACGTGACTGAACGCGACTGTCAGTGAGAAAATTAACCAAAATTAACGCTCGCGTTTCGTTATGCACGAGACGGATATAAAAGAGAAACTTGATGCTTATAGACGTAGGAGACGAAGAGAAGAGATGACAAATTCTATTAAGAATGCGATACAAAATGTCTTACCGTGGAATAGTGGTAAGTTTGTCGAGGAACAGCTGCTGCCAGCGTCGCCAGATGATGCCGAGGTAAGGTTACCTTGCAACGTTTCCAGTGTGCATGTTTTGTTTTGACAGCAGTATGACACTTGCACTTCGTGTGTACATACATTATGAACCAAACAATAAGTTAATGACTGCCTTGTAACAACCTTGTGGCCACGAGCACAAACAAAATCTTAAACGATATTTACTACAAAATGTATACAGAAGTACGGTATGATTAAGAATTGGAAGCTTGCAGGATATCCAGGACAACGAAAGCATCTCTTCAGAGGATAGTGTAGACCATTCGCAATATACAGTGCTAAGGAAAGTAATAAAACTACTCTACTTCCTTCTGTGGACAACATTATACGTAATTGCAATTAAATTTGAGTTTGGACTGGTATACCTTACCTTATCTGCATTAATATTTATTTGGTTGAATACTCATACCAGACCTAAACAAGTAGGGGAACTTAGCGCATATTCGGTTTTCAATCCTGATTGCAAAGCTATCGAAGGAACGCTCGATGCTTCGCAGTTTGAGAGAGAAATAAGATACGGTATAGGAGGCATGAATTAGGATACATCGTGCAAGTATTACACTCGTATTATTTGTTACAATTAGAGGTAATACATGTTTTGTACTTGTATGCATCTGAATATGTGGCTACATGATTTATAATAAGTGAATAAGAAATAGAAACTCCTGAATGTACAGTTAATTATATGGTAAAAGTGTTAAAAAAGTATGTTGGTATACAAGAAATGTTTTAGAGGTAATTGATTACCAGTACCCGGAGATGGGTAAATTTTATTTTTAAATAATGAATAAAAGTTTTTATTCATTTAACAACTGTGGTAGCAACAGAATTGGATAAATTATATTTCCAATTCATGAATACATATTTTATAATTCTGCTGTTATCACAGTTGGTTCGAGAGAAATATTTGTACCTAAGTATTTTGTACTATTGCATTTACATTATTTATTTTGTAACAGTTCGACGGCTGTTTCGTAACATTTTACTATCTCGTTAAGGCGTGTTGAGATTACATTGAAAGGCTCATGATCTAATTTAAAAAACTCTACCCAGTCGGTTCTCGATCGTTGGTTCGTATCTGAGCAGAGAAGAGCTCTATCTAAATCCATCATCAAATCGTTTAATATCCTTGTATCGAGTAGACTACAACAGAAGTTAGATTTTGTATGCTTCCAAAATGTTAAACTATGTAAACATAACGATATAATGTATCATACAAAAATTACATACGTAATGCTATCGATTGCATCGATCATTCCATTTAAAATCTTTATGTTAAACAATAATCTGACCGAGATCTCTTGTATTTTATCTAAAAAAAGGAAAAATACAATTTTATTCAGTAAACTAAAACTTGACTTGTTTACATTCATTCCAAGTACCTTTGTTTATCAAAAATTGACTACTATCTATCAACTCCAATGCCTTGGAAACAGTTTCGTTGAAATAGCGAGGATTCCATTTCATGATTAAGCATTCCGATAGCCTCCAAATGGTTTGACTAAGTATCTGAGCTAAAATTATTTTACGCAGTTGTCTTTCATGATTGTTTTCGTGGAAGGTGACGCTGTTGTTCTAGATTTACAAAAAAGCAATCTCCAACTTTACAAGAAACCATTGCATTAACATTTATGCATGTTATTGTTACTTACGATGAACGACAATTCTGCATGCGGTATACCTATTGCGAGGCGACGTGTATTATTAAAAGACGTTTTCGAAGGTATCAATTGGTTATTATGAGAACGTATATTCTTTACAGTGCTGGCAGCTTTAAAGACCACGGATTTTACTACATCTGACCCTGACGCAGTAAAGGGACCTCTGCCTATAATGAATTCAAATATACGAAAGACTAACAATCTTTTTTTCCTTGTTACACAGATGAATGTGCACAAACCTTGCAAAATTCGTTGATGTACAATAACGTAAGCCATGATCCTAGAGCGCAAGAAAATGTTCCTGGTCACAATTTCTAAACAAGGATCCGATGAGCCCATAATTAAGCAAAAAATAAGGGATCGACGAGGTCTCCAACCGTATTCTCTCTGGATCTTACTCATCTTCTTTGCCAGTTCCAAAGCAATACCAACACCTTCCCCACTAGCTGACACAACAACATACCTATCTAAACATTTAAGAGTGAGTGAAACTTTACAACCGATAGACTTAAAGCTACATTGTAGAATTTAAATCACCAGGTTCTCTGGACCCTCGAGCATTTGCAACGATGCACGATGGATGTACCACGACCTTCTGAATGAACGACAAATTCGACAGGATTCCGTGTGCTCGACGTACATCGTCTTCGCTCGAATTGAAGGACTCCCAGTTCCTGGATTTCATAAACATTTAAATATAAGTACAAGGATGGTTTTCATTTTTAGATTAAAATAGAACGACTACGAACATTTCAAAGTCTTCGTCGAGGTTCGACCTGTCCAATTGCTCCAGGAGGAGATGTTGAAGGTACTCGGTGCTCTCGAGGCCATTTCCCGCCAACTCGAGGCGTTTCCTTTCCGCATGGGATTCTATGATCCTTTGCGTGGAGAAACGGCCCAGCAAGAAGCCACAGAGAATACAAATAAAACCAACGGAAAAGATAAACGAAAAACACATACGTTTCGTCACGAACTCGCTCGACTCGCCGAATCCTCGAGCCATTTGAAAGCTGAGAACCCTTTGCATCTTTGACGATCTTAGATATGTACTCTTACAATGAATTAATTAATTGACACAAAACGTGAGTTGCGTTAGCGGTTCATCGTTAAACAATAACAGAGGCTCTTTTCTTCCTCAAAAGAAGCAATCTCCAACTGAAAGAGATATTGAAGAGGAATAAAGTCACTGACCTTTTGAAGGAGGAATAAAAGAGATACCGCAACTATAAAATTGACAATAGATCTCAGTTAGAAAAATTCGTTATTATATAGATATTTGGAAGCTACCGAATTTTTAGATATTGATATTTGAATACACAGGTATTAATTAATTACTTCCACTCAGATAAGTAAATTAGCGGTACTAAGAGTGCAGATCACGTGGAGTTCGTTTTAAAGTCAAGCACACGAATGGAATCCTTCCAGTTTCGGGTTGGCCAGTTGCTTTAAAACTGCGTGAGACTAGGCTGGTATATTTGTCAGTCGTCGTCGGATTTCCACCTCTTTCCTGGCACGTCGATTATTGTTATATGTATCGCCCGATAGCATGTGCAAACAAAATTGACAATAGTCAAAAGTTGCGTTTATATGCAGAGGATATACATATACATATATTTTTATATTGCATGTAATAGTATTCATTTTAGTTTTTAATCATAGAGTATTTAGCGTGTCGTAAAGGGTGTGGTAGGATAATAAGATAGAAATCGAAACTTTAGAATAAAATATTTTCCTACGAATCTTTGCTTTCGAAAAGATAGACCGAAGATGTAGAATTAAATATTTTCCCGCGAGTGCTTGTTTTTGAAAAAATCCGTTTTGAAAATTCATGGGGACTCGCGTGTACTCGCTGTTAACACACACACACACACACACGGGTGCATATAAATGTCAGACATTTTGAACGAAATTACCTTTCCTTGACTTCTACCCTATGTATTTCACGTTAAAAATAATGAAATGCCTTTATGTAAATATTGACAATTTTTAATCATCCAAGATTGTTTCCAGTGGTAATATTTGCATGTATTCAATTAACTGAAGTATAAATTAGATAATTGTTTTATTAAGGAAACTAATAGAAGTATAATAAATACCACATAAATGATATTTATAACTGTAACACCATGCTCGCTGCGTCGCGTCGACCAACTTATTTCAGTCAATAATACGGTGACGGTGTTTCGTTTATAAATAGTTTTCAATGTATTACGTGCACGTGCAAGGTTATTTAACTATAGATGTGTTGTTTCAATCTCAAAATACAGAAAAACCACATATGCAAAGATGTTCTTTCCCCATATCATTTATGTGGTATTTATTATACTTCTATTAGTTTCCTTAATAAAACAATTATCTAATTTATACTTCAGTTAATTGAATACATGCAAATATTTCCACTGGAAACAATCTTGGATGATTAAAAATTGTCAGCATTTACATAAAGCCATTTCATTTAACGAAAAAAATATTTCGATACATCTAAAGCTTGCATTTAAATTTATTTGTTTATTTCGTGCATTTCGTTGTTCAATGTTATGATGTTCGTGATTGATATTCTTTAAATATTCGAAACAACGACTTTTCACTAACTATATCTCTCCTTTACGGAAAGCAGTAAAGAAGAAACCTCGTATAGTCTATTTATAGATTTTTTATTATTAGAATCTCTGTAAAATAAACTTTTGTAATAATTCGAAGTGAATGATCGATACTGTTCTCAGAATGGAACAAAGCGTGTAAGCTTAAACCAAAGAAGTAAAAATAAATTTTTAAAAGATTCCCTCCGCGGAAATATCGTTTTGCAACGTTTAAAAGTGCCTATAAAACTCCGTTTATTCTTTATTATGTATTAACATGTGTTGTGTAACACAATATGTGTATATACATATTAGTGGAAGTAAACAAAATTCTTGTACATAAAACGAAGAAATTAACATTCAGAGATTTAACTAATCGACAATAAACTATTATGGATCTTATCTTTTAGAACGAGAGGTTCTTTGTGTCCTCTTTTGTCCAGAAATAAATGTTTACATATACTATTCTGTAACACTGGAATTATAAACAACGATATACATATACAAATACATTGGTGTATGTTAATTCTTTTCGACTAGAAACAATCAGCTGTTCCAATATCCCTAAAGGACAAAATGAAATATTTCCTAGTTTATATCTTGCATTTGACCTGTCTAAACTTCCCATGAAGCTTCTTCCGGTTTTCTTTACTTCTTGTTTTATTGCTTTGTTACACTTTGTTATTTGGCCAAGTAACACGTGGCCACATTCGTCGACTCTTGATCTATAATATCTTGATCAGAGGTGACTTAGTGACTATCGTTTTATTTTTCGTCGTACGTCTGTTAATTAAGAATTCATCGTGTCATTCGACGAATTATTCAGGTTACAATGGAAATAGTAAATCCGATAGTAACGTGTCCTTATGAAGAAACGCATCGAATTCGCAAGAGCAAGCTACCTTACCACCTGAAAGCATGTGGTGAAAAGAATCATTCTACAAAATCGCATTGTCCATTCGACACAACTCACATAATTGATACTGTTAATTACGAGGTACGGAAAAGTCATTATGTAAAATATATATAAAAATAGAAAGTGGATATTTGAAAATTATAATTAAGAAAATTGTAGGCTCATGTCGCAAACTGTGCCAGTAGTGGAAACATACAAAATTATTTATTTGGATTTGACCCACCGCAAAGCTTAGGAACAGTACCTTTGGAAACGGTTTCATGTCTATCCGCACCTGTAATGAAACATTGGAATGAGGTTTCGCTCAGTAGTTATTATTTTATACTGTTTTTGAATATGTAATTATTATTACGTATTGTTTTATATCTAAGAAATATGTAGAAACATACGATCCTTGGAAGAATACAGAGAACAAAAAGGTCATACGATATATAATAGGATCGCGGTCAGAGAAAAGACAATTTAGATTAGCTGAGCGTAAAAGAAGACAGGCTCTTGATAAAGGAGACATAGGTAGTCCGAGCCTAATAAAATCTTTGGTATGTTTCATCTTATATTTATTAAATAATAATATCCTTAGTAATTCTACAAGTATATATTGGTTTCTGTTTTCATTCTCAGAAACATAAGTTGCCAATGGACTATGTGGATATTTCACAACTTATTAATAGTATGAGACGATTATATTTGGAAGATTTCGATATTTTATTGAAAAGTATCGATATTAGTAAATTGTTTATAAGTGAAAAGAGCCGTTCTTTAAATAAAGAAAATTGTATGTCAGAAGTCATTGAAAAGGTAATAGATGTTATATATATATAAACAGAAATATTTAATATTGTATTAAATATTGTAGGCATTGGTGCAACAATTTCAAAAACTAATGGTCCTTTGTTTGAATAAGATTCACTAATAAAAAAGGAAACAAGGATCGTGATGCATAATAACAGTATTAGTACTTTGCATTTGTTAATTTAATTTGTGTTGCCATAAACTAAACTTAAATCAAAGTTAGAACATCATGGCAGCAGTAGGAATGAGCCTTTATATACCTTTGGTATATATTATAATTTTGCTGGTTTCATTAAGATATAATATTTTCATTATTTGTTATTTTTATTCGAATTAAGCAAATGCATGATATTACTAAAAAGAGAACAAAGAAATATGTATTTTTGTATGTAAACGATCCTTAAGATATTTTTATAAAAATTTACTATTTTGATTACAATGCTTTCTAGTTACTTTATGTTTCTTTTACTATTGTGAAAACAATCCGCATGTGCGTGACAAATCCGTGATGTAAGTACACGTAAAGTACAAATATTTAATGTGTACAGTTTATACAATTTATAATACATTTTTATATTGAATATATTACTTTGTTTGTATTTAACTTATGTGTGATAAGTCCCATTAGTTCGTGGACCACTGATCTAGAGTCGACCCTGATGATTTTTTCACATAGAAGAGATCGTATTAATCGATATATCCCTTGTAACATAGTTTTATTCTTTAAACGAATTCAAAATAAATATCAATTTTTGCAAGTAATAACAAGGTCTGGTTGTATTTAAAATGATACATCGCTACGATGTGATTTAATCGATTTTAGATATATAATATTTAGGTTCGGTCCTTTCAATATAAAAGTCGCATCAAACAAATAGAATACACGTATTTGACTGTACATTTTATCCTATACATACAATAATCGTAAAAAAGAAATTCTTGAATCATGAAGCTATCCTCAACGACCCGCGCTTCAGTTATTACTTCCTAGTAGCTCCTCCAGCAGCCAAGAAGATGCCTCTTTATGATGCTGTTTTATGTGATTCCTCAGGTATCTTTTCTGGCCAAACTTCATGCCGCACTTGCAGTCGAAGGGTTTTTGTTCGTTGTGTATCGCACGGTGTCGTACAACTTCTCCTTTAACCGAGAACGTTTTACCGCAAATCTCGCAAGCGAAAGCTTTAATACCTGTATGCGTGGTCTCGTGATGAGTTAGTCTCTGTCTATTTCGAAAGTGTTTGCCACAGTACGAGCACTGGTGAGGCTTATAATCTGTGTGCACGCGATTATGAATATAAATGGAATTTAAAGTACGAAACACTTTAGGACAATGTTCACATGCATACGGACGCTCTCCTGTGTGAATCCTGCGATGATCATCTTTTGCTCCTTTGTTCGCGAACGCGCGACCACAGATATCGCAGGCGTACTTCTTCAGTCCCTCGTGAACGTCCCTGATGTGTCTAGCGAGATCTTGTTCGATTCGATAAGACTTCCCGCATAAATCACACTTGCAAGGTCGTTTATCAAAATGCACACGAATGTGGCGCAAGAAGCCTCGTTTCGTGAATATTACCTTCTTGCAGGTGTCGCACTTATACGAGACTCGATGATTAATCAACTGCCGCGCTTTGTTCACCAACTCCGTCTCGTCTGGATGTTGGATCTGGTTCACGTCGGAATGTCTGTTTATATGTTTCTTCAATTCAGATTTTTTAGTGAAGCTCTTCTCGCACAAGTTACAAGTATAACATAGGGATTCCTTTGATTCGTTTAGTGTAGGACCTTCTTCACTGCGTGCATCCTCGTTTCTTGTATTGTTCGCACATTCTAACGCTTCATCCTTACTGACATCTTTCAGTTTATCGTAGCCGTCGTAATGCATCAACATGTGCTCCTCGAAGTCTTTATCTCGACCGTGGTACACTAGCTTACAGTACTGACAGTAATGCATACCAGCCTCGTGTTCGGCGTTCATGTGATCTATAAAATACTTCATGTTCACGAAGACGATATCGCATTGAGTGCATTGGACGTACTCTACCTCCTCGCCGTTTGTACTTTCGTGTTCTGTCGCTAATCGCGCGACGCCATCGGCCTCGTCCTTCCACCTGTAAAAACAAACATATTCCGATATCATGCCATCGAACGCGAAGCGAATTCTTGCTGTGGCTCTTCAGACAACGTCCTTGGGCGAGTCTCGCGTCGCGAAGCGACCTTTCGCGATTATGGACACGGTTACCACGACTGATACAGCCACAGACGTTCCTACAGTAGTTTCTGGTTGGTACGAACAACAATGTGCTTATCTAACTCTTGGTTCCTTTTAACATTCGTGGGGAAAGTGAACGTGCAGAGATGCCTTCTGTTTAATTAGATCTCAGATCTAGGAGGTTACAGTTATTATTCAGCCAGGAAAATTTGTTCTTTAGATACATATCATACAATTCTCCAGAGCAGGTCCTACATTTTCTTTCAATTCTACCTCGAAATTAACATTGAAAAGAGAGTGAAATACAGAAAGTTTTCTCCTTTATTTCACGGTAACCGTGAATGAATTTGTTTCATGATTGAGTCTCTTATGGTTGATTAGATAGCGCTTTTGACGAAACGAGAGATCGCATTCGGTGCATTGCCACGGTTTCTCGTCGAAGTGTATCAATCGATGCCGCTTCAGCTCGTATTTGATGCGGAAGCAACGGCCGCATATGTCGCACGCGTGCGGCTTCTCGCCCGTGTGCTTAGTTATATGGACGGCGAGCGAGGGTCTCGTGCGGAAGCTCTGCTCGCAATAGTTACACTTGAAAGGGAATACATCCGAGTGGGTGCGATTGTGCACGAACAGAGAAGCTTTCTGCTTAAAGGACTTCCCGCAAACGTTGCAAACGTATGGTCGCTCGCCCGTGTGTATACGTCGGTGATCCTCCGCGTTGCGCTTCGTGGTGAACATTCGACCGCAAATGTCGCAGGGGAAATTCTTTATGCCGGCGTGAGTATCGCGTAAGTGCCTCGCTAGGCCCTGGTTCACCCGAAACTGTTTGCCACACAGGTGACAAGTGTAAGGCCGTTCTCCGGTGTGTATTCGTACATGCCAGAAGAATGTGTACGGTGAAAATAAGTTTTTACCGCACTGGTTGCAATGATAATAGACTTTTCCATCGATCTCTGTCTTGGCACGCATCACCAGCTCTCGATCGACGCATCTCAGCTTCTTGTCTTTCTTCTCTAGGAATTCTGAATGCGATTCCATTAAGTGTACTTCGAGTAACTTCTTCTTTTTGGACGTGTAATCGCAGTACACGCAGGGATGCGTTTCGTGTCGGTTCCTTTTACGCTTCTGGTATAATTTCCAATTTTTCTCTTTCTCATACGATTGTTTGGATATACTTTCATCGGTTGAATTCGTATTTTTTGTCTCGACGCTGGTTCTTGTTTCACTTTTACATTTGGACGTGTGCCGCGCTAGGTGGCATTCTCTCTTAAAGCAACGCTGACACCTTTCGCACACGTATTGTTCTTTTGGTAATGATACCGTCTCGTTCGAGCAATCTTTAGGACATGATATTGTATCTGTGCTAAAATCTGTCCAATTGGAATTGTTAGAAATGTTCAGGGTGTAGTCGTTACTTTTCCTTTTTATGCTTTCTTCTGTGTTAGTTTCATCGAATTTTTTAGGAACTGTACATTTGTTAGTTTCAATAATATTATTCGCACACATCGTTGTCGCATGCCACGAACAGTATGCCGCGAAGGATCTCTTCTGAGGTTGACCAAACCTGGAAAAATAATAAATGTACCAGATTTGAATGTTTTCGGTCTATTCGAATAATCGGTGAACTGTGTAGAAGGAAATTATAAGACGCATATTAGCATGCTCGTAAAGTTTCAACGTGTCTGCTTTTAATGTGATTGTTCAAGTAACGTTTTTGTCGAAAGGCGAGACCACATTTCACGCAAATAAATGGTTTACTCTCGGAGTGAATTAGCTTATGCCTAACTAGTTCCGATTTCACTCTGAACCTTTTCAAGCACACGTCGCAACCATAATTCTTCTCTCCTGTGTGAGTGGTAATATGGGCTAGCATCTCCTGCCTTCTACGAAACTTTTTGTTGCAATATGAACACGGATGGGGAAACTCATCCGTGTGTAGTTTACTGTGAATGTATAAGGAAGCTTTCGATTTGAACGTTTTCCCACACGAGTCGCATATGTAAGGTCTTTCTCCTGTGTGCGTTCTGCGATGATCTTCTCTCGTGGCTTTCGACGCGAAAGACTTACCGCAGATGTCGCAAGTGAAATTTTTAAGTTTCGCGTGTACGTCTTTCAAGTGTCGAGAAAGACCACCGGAATCGCGAAATTGTTTTCCACACACGTGACAAGTAAATGGCCTTTCGTCTTTGTGGATCCTCGTGTGTCGCAAATACGAATCTTTCAGCTTAAAACATTTTCCGCATTCGATGCATTGATAAGTCTCCTGAACGTCGACGGTACACTTGTGCTTTGCATACTCACAAGAATCTTTAGAGTTGTTCCTGTCACAAGGTTTACATTTTCCCTTTATTTTTTTGTCTCTGTTTTCTGTATTCGAAGGATCCCCTGACTTGCATGTTTCGCTGTCCAGTTTCAATTTTTCTAAATTATGTGACTTATATGGCTGGGAAACCTCTTCTTTTACATCGACATCATTATTTAGTAGCTCAGGAATTACGACAGGTTGCTCGAGCGTCGAGTTCATGACAGAGATCCATACCGAATCATAATCTCCGCTAACCGTAGGCTTTCTTTCTTGTAGCTGGTATTTTATTCTCTTTGGCTGCCGAAATATATTCTGGGCATCTAGGAACACCTTAAATGGTGTCCGCATACTACTGGACCTGCAAAACAGTCAGAGCTTGACTCCAGATTTGCAGATATGGTGTAATGATGCAGAAGTTTTGTTCTTGTTCAACCCAATTATCAATGGCACTTGGGAATGATTATCTTTCTTGATAGTTATCTTATAGTCACATATGTATAGATTTTCATTTTCTCTGTATGTCTGTATGGACTGCTTGGAACAGTCTTTTTTTTTTGTACAACTATGTGTAAATGCTTCGATTAAAAGAATTCACAGCAATCCTTGTTCCATATTCCAAACGGGAATAGTCGATATGTAAAGTTTTCTTTAAGGATAACTGGTTGTCCATTGCATATATTAGTTATACTTTTACGTAATTAGATGTATACAAATAAAAAATTTAACGATTATTGTACTTTTACGCGTGAAAGATTTTTATACTGGTAATTACTATGTTTAAACTTGTTTACAGAGGGCATATAATCTGCACGTTCAATTGTATGTACTATATAGATCCAATGTATTATCGATTTCTATATTTTCTTTAAATAAAAGAAGTTGTTACCTGTCTGAATTGTTAACAGTCGACTCCCCACAATCTTCGCCCTTTATGGTTTCTTGTTGTTGAGGCTACAATTGAGAAAACTACTAAAGATATACAAAAATTACTTTAAAATTTTAAATATTATTTTTAATGAAAATTTTAATGATTCTATAGAAAATATTATTGCTTTAAATTGTCCACACTTACAAGAGATTCTGCTACATTGTACACCGAGGTATCTTGCATGGAAACTTCTAACCCTTCTGAACTCTGGAAAATTAACATTAATTTGACTCTCAATTATTTTTTTTTATTAGTAGTAATAAAGTATACAGTTTCATTTCATATGTACCTGTTTTTCTTGTAAGGCATTTTGTATTTCTAACAACCGTCTTTCTGCATTTAGGCATCCTTCTAAAAGCTCATGCCATGCTAATAATGTTGCAGCACAATGATAACATAATTGTAGCGGAAGTGTATCTGTTTCAGATACCTGTAACAAAAGATTTTTTAGCACATCTAATATTTTTACACACAAATGTGGTTTATGTCGAAAACTATAGAAATACATACATGTATAGGCAAATACTTGTGTATTTTACTGCATAAGTCATGTTGCAAACCTTCTCCTTCAAATATTGGGATTAAATGATGATTGATATTAGCACATACTCTACATAGATTGGACCATGAAAATCGTTCTTCAGACTGAGTTAAAATTGACTTTTCATTAGAAGCTTCTATTACAGTTTCATCTTTATTTTGAACATCTGCGATTACAAAAAATTCTTCCTCGCTTTCTAATTCCACACTTGTATTCTCTGTAACTATGTTTTTCACAGATTGGATCAAAATCGAATCCTCTCCACATGATTCCAGGATGACAGAATTTTCAGGTTCCATTGTATCTGCAATATCGTTTAAAACATTATTAGTTAATCACAAAATTTCACATTAATTACGTTAAACAAGTACGTACTTAGTAAATGAGAAAACAGCCGAATTAATTATCACGATAACCCTTTACGTGTATTCCTTGTAAAAAATATAAACGAAAAACATTTCACACTCTACATTCGCGCACTGGTCGAAACAGAAGCTCCTAATTAAATTTCTCTCGCATTAGGATTTCATTTTCTTCCGAGTACCACGAAACACTATACTCGTAAAATTCCTGTCATTCGATGCGAACATTTCTTCGAAACACAGATCGCCATTTTCGCACGTAATTCTTCATAAATTACTCAGAAGGAGACTATGCACTTTTCGTACTGCCTGCGACCGATCATCGTCATAAATATTTACAAATCTTGATCTGATCGCGTGTCATCTTCTCTCTCTCCAATTTCTCTGCATGGCTAAAGATGTACAGAATGGATCACCGTTCTACAGACGTAAAGTACGCAACTCATTTATATTTAAACTATTTTTGTTCAAATATTTAACTGTTTTTTATTCCGTTGGATATTTTAATCATTCACGTAATTTTTTTCGACATAATGGGACGTACACAATCGGGTAACGGATATACGAAAGTGCACGAATGTTGTCGCGGGTTATAGTTGGTATAGTGCAGGTATACAGGGTGTTCCAAAGATATTGTAACACATTGAAAGAGGTGGTTCGGGAGGTGATTTGAAACAACTTTTTCCTTAGCGAAAATGTTGTCCGAGGCTTCGTTGAGGAGATATTAACGGAAAACACTGACCAATCAGAGTGGGAGGATGCTGGTGGAGCGCGACCGCCTAACGAATAGCTTACGACCGCTAGCGCTCCATTGGCATACGCGCGCTCTGATTGGTCGGGGAGCGCGGCCGCCTAGCGCTCGATTGGTCAATGTTTTCCGTTAATATCTCCTCAACGAAGCCTCGGACAACATTTTCGCTAAGGAAAAAGTTGTTTCAAATCATCTCCCAAACCCTTTCAAGGTGTTACAACATTTTTGGGACACCTTGTATAATATAAAAATGCATAGATCGAGGTTTGCAACTGACTTGAGCAAAACTAGATTAGATTCATACTCGATTGAAATGATAAATTGCAACTCTATCAGAGTGAACAACCTCCCTCTCCTCTCCTTACGGTTCAGTAATATTAATTACAAAGATAATTATCGGATGATTTCGAACCAATAGTTTCGAAGGATATCGACATCGTGATTGGAGCATTCCTAGTGGAAAAAGCAACGTAGCTGAGTCGAGTAAAAACCCTAGACCATTTGAAACGATAAATTGCAACTCTATCAGAGTAAACAACCTTCCACTCCTCTCCTTACGGTCCAGTAATATTTATAACAAACATAAATATCGGATGATTTCGAACCAATAGTTTCGAAGGATATCAACATCGCGATTGGAGCATTCCTAGTGATTCCTAGTGGAGAAAGCAACGTAGCAGAGTCGAGTAAAAACCCTAGACCACCATTACCCGAAGTCGACGATATCGTTCGTCTCGTTTCTTTCTTTGGAAAACGTTCAAGGGAGGAAACAAGACAACCAATTTCGTCGAACTTCAGGTAATCGTAGAGTTTCGCCAAACTGCGAACGGAGGAATGACGAACGATAAAGATTCGCGAAGTGGCGCGATCTAGGCGATTCGTGCGCGTTCGTGTCGGATCGCCAATCTTCGGGCGACGATTGCCGAGCGCACATTACTATTTTCAGGCACACAAGGCACCTCTTGACGGGTTTTCAATAAGTCAAGAGGGCGGCGGTGCGAGGGAGCTGCTTTTTTTCCTTTTTTCATTGATATTTTACGTGCGGTAGATGCCGAAATTGTAGTGGCCTCTGTGTGCGCGCGTGATAAAACATACGATGCTGGAAGACGTATCGGTGTGGCTTAAGGCCTGACGGTCCGTCGGTCGTTCCGGCAAAAATGAAAGAAGCTCGTCGGTCCGAGCAGCTGATGGCGGCCGAGTGCTGTTCGAGCCTCTGTGTCGTCTCCCATCGTGGCGTTTAAGTGAGTGCGTGCGTTTTTGCTGCGCGTAACGAAGTGCGGCTACCGCGTGCGCTGGAGGAAAGATCATCCCCTGTGGAAGATAGATTTTCGCGGGGTGCGTGTACCGCTTCCGAGTTCGAGCGACCAACTATTTCGTAACGGTGCTTCTCTTCTCTCGCTGCTCTCGGTACCCGACACGCAGGCAGGCACGACACGGTAAAGCCTGCAACCGCGGCGGTTCCACAGTGATACGGGGCCCCGTGAATCGAAATACTCGCGATCGAGGAACGGAACGTCGGAAGCGAGAGTCCCACGGGTCCTGGAAGTTTCAGGTAACGCGTAATCCACGTTAGACGGTCGACGAGAACACCGTGCCGCTTCTCTGTGTTACACGGTGTAGGTGGGAGATTCAACGTACGACGATAGGGCGTGCGTTCGCGTGTGACAACGCCTAACAAACGATCGCGCCCCTTTTCTCGCGGACGATATTAGACGAGCCGGCAATTTTCTTCGGGAATTTCGAGTCGACTGGGAACTCGATGGATCTCGTCGGTTGACAACCCACCTACGATCAGCGCGTTCCGTTACGCGGTGAACAGTCCTCGTGCTATGCACGCGCGATCATCAATTTTCATCCCTTTCTTTCTCAGGAACATCTGAACAGTAGGTTAATCGTGCCCGGACACACCACGTGCAGTTTTCGTAATTTGGTGCAGTGTCGCTTTTGTTCCTTTGTGAGTGAATGAGTTGTCCCTCGTCGACGCGGAATGCGGCCTCCTCGGGGTGGACGCAGTCCTCTTTAATTGCGTCCAACGCTGGAAAACCACAGCCAAGGAACGAACGTACATCTCCCTCCAGTTCTCTTAGTGCCTCTGTTAATACCAACATGTCGTCAGGGACTTTTGTGGACCGGATAGATCCCTTCGCCAAGAGATCTCTGAAAAAGAAGTCCAAGAAGTCTGAGGGATCGTCTCGCTATCGTAACTCTCAAGACATTGAGCTTCAACAGTTGCCACAGCTCAAAGGTTAGTTGCGATTATTCTACCAAGTTCCTTTAAAAATTCTATGTTTACAACACTAAGCGTGTGTATAAGTACCTGAAACTCTTTAAATCTTCTTTTGTTTCCTAACGCGTTTACAGTTGAGATTCTCAGTGTCATATCCAATAGCATGCCCAATAATCTGCCTGCATTATAGACTGTGAACATGCGTTTCGATATGCAACATAACACTTTAGTTTGCTCATTCTTTATTCTTCATCTGAACTATTCCCTTTGAACTATCAGAATAGTTGTACAGAAACATCAACTTGTATACTGCAATGACTTTAAGGTGTTTAAATTAATATAATTTGATTATAGACTGTGAACATGCTTTTCGATATGCAGCATAACACTTTAGTTTGTTCATTGTTAATTCTTCATCTGAACCATTCTCTTTGAACTATTGGAATAGTTGTACACAAATATCTTGTATACTTTTATACAAAGTCCATCTCAAGCAACATTAAGACAAGTAAAAGTAAACTGTATCGAACACTAATGTTCCCTTTGTTTCCTCAAAGGATGTACAAGGTACATTATCATTGTATTTTCCAAAGATAATTCATACTTTATTCTTATTCTTGTCAACCACAATGTAAACTTTACTGAAGTTGTGAGATAATTGGTAACACGTCTGTCATTTGAATATCAAGTAATCATAGTACGCATTAAATGTACTCCTGGTGGTAAAAAAACCTGCTAATACATACTGTTGAGTATAGTTAGCAAGTAATTTTATTTTCATCCTTGAAACAATTTTTCTAAGTTCGTTAAATAATCGAAAATTTATTATCAATTTATATTATATATTTATATTATAATTTACTTAATACTAAAGGAAATGTGTAAACTATGTTGACGTATTATCGTTTTCATGAATGGTACATTGCAATTCTCGATATATGTATTGATACGCGAAGTTATGGAACTTAACCTCAAAATTTTCGAAGCTAAGCTGGACTACTTCGAATACTAAAATTTGTTTCATATTTTTAAATATACAATGGAATGGCGATAGAAAGCGCCAAGCATTTGAATTCATCGATTAATTTAAGAATTAACTTTCGATTCTACGAATGTGTCCAGCGTACTTTGTATTGACGTACGTTCTGAAAATCGATGAGGAGCAGCAAAGCAGAGGTCAGTTGACGTTGCTCGACCGATTTTCCTGCAATATAAGTTTCGAACAGAGTCGATGACAGCAACGTATCGAATAAAAATCGAGTTCTTTTAAACAACTCTACTTAAAATTCCATAACAAAACATGATATAATCGCGCGTATGAGTAATTGAATGACGCTGTACAGTTCGAAAACTGGATTTCTAACTTTTATCGTTTGCAAATTTCCGTCGCACCATGTGCGTGTCAACGTCACGTATTTTTATGGTCCCACTAAGGATTCTGTTTCGACGATTCGTAAATCTTTTACGACGATAGAACAACGGTTGCTAACTGCAAAAGAAGATTAGCTGCGAATTTTAATTCCGCTCTTGTCGATCAGGCCGTTCCCCTGCTGCTCGTCCTTCGAATCAATCTTACATAACCTGTACGAGCTTATTATCTTTTGCAGTTGGACGTCGCGCACGGGAACGAATTGTTGATTTATAACAGAAACCATTATTTCCGTTGTTGCAATCGTGACTCGAAAATAAAACGGATTACGTATAGTATTATAAAATGTTTGTCCCGTGCCAAGTTCTTTTTTTAATTATAACGTATTAATGTTAGAATATATCGGGTATAAATACGATCGAATCGAGATGAGAAAAGCAATGTTTGATTTCATGAAAATTGAATTAGTAGATTCTGGTGTTTTTTTTATTTTTTATTTTTTTATTATTAAAGTTTTAAGTCGCATTAACAACTCTGGTCATGAGCGACTTTATACATTTACATTTAACATCATGTATAATTTTACATTGTGCTGCTCGATGGGACTACAGTGTGTTTATTTACATGTGCAAATTTATGTTATCTGTGATTTTACAGTTTGTTATAGATTTTGGTTTCTTGTAGGAATATAATTAAGTATTTGATATTGTCCCGAGAGTTCATTATTTCATTTATATTGTTTTGGATCTTGAGGTTTTTCCTAATTCTATTGAAATGCTGGCAGTTAAATAGGATGTGTTTCATGCTGAGGAATTTGTTGCACACTGTACATTTGGGTGCACTCTCTGTTAAGAACAAGTAGGTATGCGTGAGTCTGGTGTGGCCGATTAATGTTGGAGTGATGATTACTTGATCACGTCTGCTCAGATTACTAATGTCTGGTTTGAAATTTCTTGCTTTCCATTCTGGTGTTTTATTATTATTATTTTCTTTTTTTTACAGAAACAGTACAGAGTTATTACATTTTGTTAAAGAACTCAATAGTCTCGCAGAATTCTACTAAGGTGTCCTGGTATTTGAAAGAATAGTTGGCTTCAGTGATACTATTATGGATGTTTAACTTCCTCCTGATTTCGTTGTATTTGGGGCAGTCAAGGATGATATGGTTAATAGTGATTCGGGTGTTACATTCGTCACAATTTAATGATTGGCGTCTGTTGAGTAGGTGTGAGCGAGTAAACTTGCTGTGACCTTTTTTAGGGTTTTCTTAAAAAATGTGTCTCGCCACATTTTGTCCACTAATGTTTTTCGTTTGTCCAACAAGTACTTTTGTTTTTCCACCCCTCAGAAAAAAGATACACTTCAATTAAGGAGAAAATGCAGCAATGCGTTCAGGCGCATACAGTCTGTCAGTTTTGTAGTTATTTATTTACATCTGGACAAAACCAGTAGTGTTTCTGTTCTGCGCAGACATAAATAATTAGCTACGAAATTGACAAAACGATTGACAACGAGGATTCCTTAATTGAAGTGTATCTTTCTTCTGGAGGGGGGACAAACGAAAATACTTGTTGGACAAAGACACATTTTTTAAGGAAACCCTAAATAAGGTCTATATAGGTGTGTTGACTTCAAATGGCTTGTTTGTGGCGTAACTTTGGTAATTGTAGAGAACAGGTACATCTTCACCGATTTCGTTGATTTTTAAATAAAGAAAAAATTTAATTTAGACTGACGTCGTTACTGAACGGACTGCTTTCAAAGGATTAAAAATGAACTTGCGTGAATATTTGACTATATACGGTAGATATGATACACTGATTTATTTTATGGTTGAAAACCATTCCGGTTTCGTTTTTCACTATTAAATGTAATCAAACGGAAGTGAGCGAGTATGGATACATTTTGCGTGTGATTACATTGGATGTTGAGCTATGAGATCAGTTTTGCGTTAATAATCAAATAGTTTTGCCTTTCCTGTATGTTAGTAAGCCGGTTTTTCAACCACTGTCGTTCAATCTATGATTGAGGACCTGTAAGTTTTTTAATTGAACAAAGAGTGCAAATATCTCGGAAACTGAGGCCGAGCGACGGTTATATGTATAGGAAAAAGTTGTTCAAAATGTTGATTTCTACAACATATTCAAAAATCATCGAAATCGGTGAAGATGTACCTGTTCTCTATAATTATTGTAACTTTACCGTAACTTTTTTCTGAAAGGCGGAGAAATGAAAATTGTGGTTGGACAAACGTGGACAAACGAATGTAATTTGATTTTGATCAAAATTTGCATTTGGGGGTGCCAACTTCATTAATTGTAAGCTCAACTTTCGTCGGCTTCCGAATGCATGACCAATTCAGACTCGAACCGCTCACACTATTTTCGTGTGAAGGTACTTACAAACAGTATGTAGTGACCCATAAACTCGTGGCACGTTCCAACGACGAGCGGTTATGCGAAATACAGGCATCCACCTTGCAATAGGCAGTGTCGTTCACCTCTGCCAATAAACGGCTGTAGTCCTTAGCGTCTCTCTTTCTCGTTCGCTCGTTCGCCTTCTCGCTGTTTCGCGTCTTTCTTCATCTTCTCTTGCAGTCGCTTTTTCTATCTCTCATGCGGTAGTTTCTCCTCTGTTTCTGTCTTCTATGCTAGCTCATACATCACCTCCACGCACGTGTCTTCCACTCGAGCTGTATGCACGCGCGTTTTACGCATCGATACTCGTTTCGCTTCATCATTTTCGGTTTGAATAACGTTACGTCACGCTGAATCGAGGCTGTCGTTAACGATTTTCTGGTCAAACTTTGGTAGTATGTCCTTTGTCTAAAAATACCGGGACAATGTTTAAGAAATATGGAACGGCGAAAAAAATTGTATAAATACTATACGTGTTGAAGTCGATTCAGACTATACGACACCGGACCGTCACGTTCCGGCAACGACACGTACCGGCACCGACACGACAAAAAATTCAAACGCACGTTTTAATGGAACTATTCAAGATCCGCAGTTTATTTATTGTATACATGCGTGTCTTTGTATGTACTCGACAAACAGTTATCTATATTATTTATATATATATATACCAGTGACTTTACCATCGAACTATACTAATATACTTTTTGCAAATTCAAATTTCCTATAAATGCACCAAAATCCGCAGTCTACTTATTGCATACATGCGTGTTTTTGTATGTACTTGACAAC